GAGACTGTGATTAAAGGCTTGTTGGTGTGTCGTCCAGTTATTGGGATTGCTGTTGGGATATTGCTGTATTTTACCTGCTGGAAACCCTGCCTTTGGATTTACTATTTACTTGTTCCTGAGTCTCACTTGGATTATAAGCGGAGATAACCTGGGTAATATTGCATCTCCGCTACATTGGTTGGCAGCGCTGGGATCCAGACTCACAGAGGAACAAGCCTAAATGGAGTACGGATGGAGATTGATTTTGCCACACTAAAACGCTCCACGCTAAAAGACCTTCTGGAGGCAAAGGGGATCCAAGCCAGCAATAAGACAAAAGCGGCACTTATCACTGAACTGATGGCGGAGTACCGAATGGAAGGCGATTCGGTTCCCGAACAGGGGAATTCGGGAGAAACACCGGAACAAAGGGAGTTCCAGAGGCAGGTACAATTTCGGCTGTCTTTCTATGGGGAACACCCTCCAACAGAGATTATTTCCAAAACGATAACGGAGGTCCAGGAATTTATACTGAGGAGTCAAACAGCGGCCCCAGAACGCAGCTCTGCAATAAATATGCCACAAGAAGGTAAGCCGAAAATACCATACCAGGCTTTTAAAACATATGTGGAGGCAGAGGAAGATATAGACGCTTTCCTGCAAGATTTCGAGAGACTGTGTGCACTGCATAGAATCAGCGCAGAGGACTGGGTACCTATTTTGGCAGGGAGGTTAACTGGGAGGGCAGCTGAGGCATACCGGACTGTACCAAATGATGAAATACGGAATTACCACAAAGTGAAAGAAATTATATTGGCCAGGTATGCTATAACACCAGAAGCATACCGGCGGAGATTCAGGGATTTAAAGAAGGTGGAGAAAGACTCACATGCTGAGTGGGCATGCAGACTACAACGAGCAGTCTTGGGGTGGGTGCAAGCGAGCAAGGCACGGTCTATGGAGGATGTATTGCAAATGGTACTGCTGGAGCAATTTTATGAAGGAGTAACCAGCGAGGTACAGGAGTGGGTAAGAGACAGAAACCCTACCTCCCTTACCGAAGCAGCCAGGAAGGCAGACGAGTACCTGGATGCACGCAGGCAGCAAAAACCTGCAGCTCCAAAAGTACCTTTTAAAACCTTTGGGGGAACCAACTACACGCCAGCTCTACCAAGGTCACTACCACCACCACCCGCTGCACAGCCACGTTTCCGCCAGCCCACGTCGGGCCCTTGCCACCACTGCCAGAAGTGGGGACATTATAAAAGGGAATGCCCCCAGTTGCGGGACCGTTCCACCTGGATCCGACCCGGTCCACCACCACCACCGAGAGCCGCCACAGCCCATCACTACCAGGACATCGTGGCCACACCGTATGGTTCAGCAGTTCCCATCACAACCGTAGAGCAGTGGGAGGTACTGCACGAGGCAGATCCCGTCCAGGCTAACGCAGACAACCGCCAGCACCACAGGCAGACCGTGTATCTGGAGGGTAAAGCGGTTCAGGGGCTACGTGACTCAGGAGCCACCATCACCCTGGTAAAAAGTCACCTGGTCTCAGACCAAGCTAAACTTAGTAAGACTGTGGCCGTCAGGGTAGCCGGGGGAGCAGTATACCGGCTACCCACAGCAAGGGTACATTTGCATTGGGGAGCGGGGGCAGGGCATGTGGAGGTGGGGTTGATGCCGCAGTTACCGGCGGAGGTTTTATTGGGGAACGATCTGGGGAGGCTCACATCTGCTTTTGAGCCCCAGACACCCACCACAGGAGAAGCTCACCCTGTGGTCACTCGACAACAGGCCCGCACCCAGGACTACAACACACTCCCGGAGGTCCAGGTAAGAGATCCTTCCCCTTCCCTTGACTGTGTTCCCTGGGCCCCTCCTAACGAATTTGCAGCTGAGGTAGTGACTGACCCCACCTTGCAGGTGTATAGGGACAAGGTGACAGCAGACACGCCTGGGGGGGAGGGCGAGAGGTTTATTTGGGACAACCAGCTGTTATATCGGGAGACGGATAAGCAGGTATCCGGGTCAGACCCGATTGTGATGAGGCAGTTAGTGGTACCTCAGCGGTACCGGGCGGAGTTACTACGGATAGCTCATGACATTCCGCTATCTGGACATTTAGGGGTCAGCAGGACCCGATACAGGTTAACCCAAAGTTTCTTTTGGCCGGGAATTAGCCAGGAGGTGCGCAGGTATTGCAACACGTGCGATACCTGTCAAAGGGTGGGGAAAAGGGGGGACCGGCGCAAGGCCAAGTTACATCCCTCCCCATAATCGAGGAACCCTTTAGCAGGGTAGCAGTTGACCTAATAGGACCCCTCAACAAAGCAAGCCCGTCAGGTAAAAGATTTATCCTGACCGTAGTAGATTATGCCACTAGATATCCAGAGGCGGTGGGCCTGGCAAATATACAGGCTGAGACAGTAGCGGAAGCCCTGATGAAGATATTCTCCCGGGTGGGACTCCCCAGGGAGATTGTCTCCGATCAGGGCACCCAGTTCACCGCCGAAGTCACGCAGCGCCTCTGGAAGTTTTGTGACATTAAGCCGGTCATTAGTTCCCCTTACCACCCCCAGACGAATGAGCTCTTCGAACGTTTCAACGGTACATTGAAACAAATGCTCCGAACCTTCGCAGAGACCCACAAGGACTGGGAGAAGTTCCTGCCGCACCTCCTCTTTGCTTACCGGGAGGTGCCGCAGGAATCCACTGGGTTCTCCCCATTTGAACTATTGTTTGGCCGCAGGGTACGAGGGCCTTTAGATTTGATCAGAGAGCATTGGGAGGGAGAACGGAGCACTGACGGTACCCCCATCATACCCTATGTGTTGGCATTCCGAGACCGCCTTGAGGCCTTAACTCAGACGGTACGCGAGAACTTGCAGGCGGCTCAGACCCGCCAACGCACATGGTATGATCGGGGCGCCAGGGACCGTAGCTTTCAGGTCGGGCAGAAGGTGTTAATCTTAAAACCTGTCCGACACGATAAGCTGCAGGCCGCCTGGCAGGGCCCTTATAAGGTGGTGGAACAACGGTGTGACACCACGTATATAATCGGCTCGTGCGTTGGTACTGGGGGGCGACGCATGCTCCATGTGAACATGATGAAGCCCTACCAGGAGCGCTCGGAGGAAGTGACCGCTATATGTGCGCCTAACTCCGAAGAGTTTGACAGTTTACCTCTCCCGGATCTGCTGGGAGAGGGTCAGTTATCCGGGGACTTAGGGGAGGTCACCCTGGGGAATCGGTTGAGCCCACAGGAGCGGAGCGAGGTACAACAGCTGTTGAGGGAGAAGCAGGATATCTTCTCTAATGTACCTGGTTACACTCCTCTGGCCACTCACCGAGTAGACACCCCAGGGCAACTTCCCATGCGTCAGACCCCGTACCGCATCCCAGAAGCGGTACGGGCGAACATGCGCAAGGAGATAGATGAGATGCTCCAGCTGGGGGTGATTGAGCCCTCGGACAGCCCCTGGGCATCTCCGGTAGTCCTAGTACCAAAGCGGGACGGCACGACCCGGTTTTGTGTAGACTACCGGAGATTAAATGAGAAGACGGTATCGGACGCCTATCCTATGCCCAGGATAGACGAACTCCTGGATCGGATGGCAAGGGGGCACTATCTTACCACAATTGACTTGTGTAAAGGGTATTGGCAAATACCCTTGGCACAGGACGCCATCCCTAAGTCGGCCTTTGTCACCCCATTCGGCTTGTACCAATTTAAGGTCATGCCGTTTGGGATGAAAAACGCCCCGGCTACTTTTCAGCGGATGGTGGACCGCCTCCTAGATGGGTTCCAGGATTATACCTGCGCATACCTCGACGATATTGCCATCTTCAGCAATACCTGGCAGGAACACCTGACCCATATAGGAGCGGTCCTAGATAGGATTAGGGCCGCTGGTTTAACGCTGAAACCAGCCAAATGCAGCATAGGAATGGCTGAAGTACAGTACCTAGGTCATCGGGTAGGATGCGGCAAGCAAAAGCCGGAACCCGCCAAAGTAGAGGCTGTAGCTCAATGGCCCACCCCTAGGACTAAGACCCAGGTGTTAGCGTTCTTAGGAACGGCCGGATACTACCGGAAATTTGTCCCGAATTACAGTGCCCTGGCCAAACCTCTCACCGACTTGACCCGTAAAAACCTACCCCGCCAAGTAACCTGGACCCCGGAGTGTGAACAGGCATTTCAGTTGTTAAAAGATGCATTGACAAATGCCCCTGTCTTGGCAGCTCCCAATCCAACTAAACGTTTTCTTGTCCACACAGACGCTTCTATGTTTGGATTGGGAGCAGTATTAAGCCAAGTCGGGGCCGATGGCGGAGAACATCCCGTGGCTTACATCAGCCGGAAACTGTTACCTCGAGAAGTAAGCTACGCCGCCATCGAGAAAGAATGCCTGGCTGTGGTGTGGGCCCTGAAGAAATTACAGCCATATTTGTACGGGCAAGCTTTTTCCCTGCTCACGGATCACAACCCGTTAGTATGGCTAAACCGGGTGGCTGGGGACAATGCCCGGCTGCTGCGCTGGAGTCTGGCGCTGCAGCCCTTTGACTTTAATATCCAGTACCGCCCGGGTAAACAGAATGGAAATGCTGATGGGTTGTCTCGACAAACTGACCTAGAGAAATGATCCGTGGGCCTCCCCGGACATCCCCAAGCCGATCCGTGTTGGATCAGACTGTGTATGCCGGCTTGTGGGCAAGGGGGAGCAGTGTAGCAGATGGCACCAGGCGACCCTACAAGAAATACTGTATAAAGCTGCAGACGTGTATCTGCTGTAATTTCTGTGTATTTAAAAAGAATTGTATTCCTCTGATTGTTCGGTAGTTTCATTCCCTTAGTTTATTCGAATGAAACTACCGAACAACCAGACCTCCCTGTGTGAAGTGTGTCCTCAATTACCAGTTGCAACATTGTTGCGAACGGGTAATTGAACAGTAAGTAGCCGTCCTTTGTTCTCGGGGGTGGCCGCCATTCGACAAACGAACACGTGCAATAGTGAATCATGGTTCTTGGTCTGCTGCCTAAACCCTCAGAGTTAGGCAACCTTCGGCACTCCAGATGTCGTGGACTACATCTTCCATGATGCTTTGCCAGCATGATGGTTGTAAGAGCATTCTGGGGGATGTAGCCCGCAACATCCAGAGTGCCAGCGGTTGCCTAGCCCTGTTAGGTCCTGGGTGGCTGTCCAAGGACCCCTTATGGTTGGTAAATCCTGCTCTGGTGGACACTGTTACAAAAGAATTGCTCGTTTCTACTTAGCAGAGCTGAGATTCCACTCGTCAGTGAAAATGTTTACCCTAGGTTTCATAAACGTAACCAATATGACCAAGTAACAGAGACTATCTTGTGTGCACCATAGCTACTACATTAATTTTTAACATTGTTGCGAACGGGTAATTGAACAGTAAGTAGCCGTCCTTTGTTCTCGGGGGTGGCCGCCATTCGACAAACGAACACGTGGCGGCGGCCATTTTAAAACTCCCGAACAGCGGTGTTTTGCCGTCGAGTGCCTGGAACTAAAATCGGACACTCGAGTAGGCAAACACCGCTGAGACCTCCACAGCCCTGGTCCGTTCGGTTCCAAACTACCGAACGGCCCCTCGTTCGGTAAATAGAAAATACCGAACGAGGGGATTCAGGCGAACCCTCACTAGCCTCTATAGCTAGAGGCTTTCATGTATTTTATTCCCTTATGCCAGGACCGACCGCAAGGCCCATTCACATGGAACCGAATTCGGCTATCTCTGTTCGTGCGGTCGGTCATTTTATTCCCTCCATACTTTTCCCGAACCCCTGGTCTGATCTGGGTGATTTTTGGATATGTTGTTCACCCAGATCAGGGCTATCAGGGGATGTAGGATTTAAAGGGGTACCCCTACGTTTAGGGGTACATCCAGAAACGGGGGGAATTGGTGTGCTGGATAAGGGGATTATGATGCTGGCTGAGGGGAGGGGATGTGTGGGAGGTTACCAGGACAGGATTGGCTACTGTAATAATTACTGTAAGTTCCTCCCTTGCATGGGAGCATGCTTTATAAGGAGACTGTGATTAAAGGCTTGTCAGTTATGCTCCTGAAACTGTGTGTCGTCCAGTTATTGGGATTGCTGTTGGGATATTGCTGTATTTTACCTGCTGGAAACCCTGCCTTTGGATTTACTATTTACTTGAGTGAGTCTCACTTGGATTATAAGCGGAGATAACCTGGGTAATATTGCCTCTCCGCTACAAGAAAGACTCCAGTAAATCAAGAAAATAGAAAATACTAGAGTCTCAAAGAGATGAGACTCAAAACTGGTTTTGAAACGAAGTACAGGAAATTCTTAATACATATTATGACTCAAAAATTCAGCAATGAGTACTAATGAAAGAAATTATCCATATAATAGTCTACTAATTCCAAAAGGTGCCACAAGAAGTTAATAAAAAAAAAAAATACTTTATTGGAATTATAAACAAAGAAATGCACTATATATGGAAAATCAGACTTGAGCTTCAAAATTAATATGGATAATTATACCAAGTATCAACAACAAAAGGGCTTTCTAAGTTTATACCATCAAAAATGGGGTAGAAGTAATAGCCATAATATAGGCAGCCAGAGGGTAACAAAAGGGATGTATATATAAAGTGAATCTGCCCTATTGCTCCTTAAATAAACACCTTTAAGGGTGTTCTACGCTGTCCCTGAAGGAAAGATGAAAAGGAGAAAATCCCTCTGCCAGTCTCCCCTAGGTCACATAACTCAGTGCTGAAATAAAGTAACAGAGTGAATCAAAAACCTAGTGCCATCATGTGTAAAAAAAAGTGAGAGCTAACAAGGAACCCGACACGCGTTTCGGTGCGTCTAATGCACCTTCGTCTAGTAAATCAAGTTCAGTCTTTCCCACATCTCTGTTTCTGCTGTTAATGCAAAGGAGGTATGTATAAAGTATTAGGGAGAACTCTGTCCTTGCACGGTGGAGGAAGAGTCCTTGAAAAGTGAAATGACCTTTGGAGACCAAGGAGCCGAGTTTTATGTCCTCATCATCACTTCATCCCTCAGTATGTTGGCCTAATAACATTCCAAGGTGGATTCCCCTGAATCAGTCTAGCAAGGAACTGTCTATACATGTTTAGGCCAAAGTCTCTTGCCTGACCTGCTCAAGATCATTTACTTTTGTTTTATTTTTATATATGTATATTATATATATATATATATATATACACAAAGTATGTTTAGCTTCATGAGATTTACTAAGAAATATTCATAAAACTCATCTGTACGCCCATTTTCTGTATAACCAGCAATGTTCCATCCGTTAATTTGTTCACATGAATTGTTTTTGAAATTAACTTTTATGAGAGATTTAGGGATGTATTCAAACAAATCTCGGATTTTAGGGAGTTGCTAATATTTCACTGAAGATGTCTAGTCTAACTGGCATTGATGTTTGCAGTTTTATGTTGTAAATTCTTTGTCTATAAAGTCTTTGTAAGCTACATTTAATCTTTATTCTTCATTTTGTCAATACATTTTAGTTTTATGGTGAGTTAATATACTAACGACACTTTCTATAAGTTAAATATTCACTAACAGGGTAACTGATTAAAATGGTAATTGTTCATCAATCTCAGAACAACTGGCATTTCTATAGAATCTGTAACATCTGTGATCTTGTAGTTCAGTAGTTGATTGTTTATTAAAGTTTACAGTTAAACATTCTCATATCAGTTTCCAGCTATTTTTGTACAATACATTTTTCTAGTATTCCAGTATTCATGATTTTTGTAAAAAAAAAAAATATTCTTCTTAAAATGTGCAAGTATATCAAAAAATTCCATGTGGTTCCATTAGTGACAATGATTGGGTAACAAACAGTTTTAAAAAAAAATACTTGGAAACCAGCTCATACCACTGTGCTGTGGAGTACAAATTGTTATGGGCAAATGCAAATATTACAAGTTTTAGAATTAAATGTTTTATTTCTTAAACTGTGTACTTTGTCTTTAAGAGATATTGCAAACCGACAAGGTGTTAGAAATGGAACATATTGTTTTTCATAATATTTTTTTTTTCAAACAATATTTCATAATGTTTCTTTAAGCAATAACCTCAGTGCAAAATATGTTTGCGCCATTTTGTCCCAGACGACTTACGATAACAATAATGCTTCAAGGCTATCCTACGACTCTTTCAGTACCTAATATACTGTGGTAACCTTAGTAGATAAGGATGTTCAGACTTTAAGATGCCATCTTGAATTAAGTCAGGAAAATTTCCATGACGTATGCACCCTTTAGTAATGGCCTTGTATGTTTGCCAAATTAAGGGAGGTGCTAAAATGAATAAAGTAAAGTGTTACTTTTTCATATATGAACTACGGTAACCCTAAAATGGAAACACCTAAGGTATAAATAGGTGTACTTTTAAATGTTAAGACACAGAGGAGAGACTTGGAGACAGACGCTGCTCCATCTTAAAATGACAGAGAGGCTGACATGATGACATGTTCAGGCAGGGCCACCATCATTTTTTTATTTTTCCTTTAAGATTATGGAGGCAGAGGAGTTTTTAAACTCACCATATGGGATATTTAAGGATGGAACTTGAATCTGTGAATTACTCCTATGTCTAAGGACCGGGTGGTCCAAAACATGTAAGGACATTTTTTTTTTAAACTTTTGTTTTCCTTTATTTGTCTATGTACCGTGTGAAATAAACCTTTTCCTTTTGGATTTTGAGTGCTTGCTTTTTCTGACACTATTTGAAAAACCTAATGCCTTTTTTGGAAAATAAATAAATAATGAAATAGGTAAGTATGGGGTAACAATTTGTTTATCCGATGAGAAACCTATTTTGGAGTAAAGAAGGACATTTTCCCAATTTTGTGTTTCAACCTTTTTTTTGACAGGGAGTTAATATAGTTGCACCAAATTGCAAGTTAAAGAGTTGTAGATATCAACATTTAATCTTATTTTTGACAACTCACAAATGCATGTCTATAAATCGCTACAAGTCCTTAAGGACGGAGCCAAATGTACACGTTTTGAACAAAACAAAATGTAAACAAAACCTGGCATTTGCGCTACATGTCTGTCCAACCATAATTCACCTCTTTCATAGTAAGTGCACCCACCCTAATTATATATCATTTTATTCAGGGGAAACAGGGCTTTCATTTAATATCAAATATTTAGCTATGAAACATAATTTAATATGAAAAAAATGGGAGAAAATTCGATTTTTGTTTTTGATTTTTTTAGTTCTACATGACATTTTAACGGTCAATGTCATAATACTGTTTGCTTTTACTGCAATAAAATACACATATTTGTATTCAGTAAAGTCTCACGTGTAAGACAGTACCCCCTATGTACAGGTTTTATGGCGTTTTGGGAAGTTACAGGGTCAAATATAGCACGTTACATTTGAAATTGAAATTCGCCAGATTGGTTACGTTGCCTTTGGGACTGTATAGTAGCCCAGGAATGAAATTTACACCCATAATGGCATACCATTTGCAATAGTAGACAACCCAAGGTATTGCAAATGGGGTATGTCCAGTCTTTTTTAGTAGCCATTTGGTCACAAACACTGGCCAAAGTTAGCGTTAGTATTTGTTTGTGTGTGAAAAATGCAAATACACCAATTTTGGCCAGTGTTTGTGACTAAGTGGCTACTAAAAAAGACTGGACATACTCTGTTTGCAATACCTTTGGTTGTCTACTTTTGCAAATGGTATGCCATCATAGGGGTAATTTTCATTCTTGGGCTACCATAGGGTCTCAAAGGCAACGTAACCAATCTGGCTAATTTTAATGTGAAAAAAATGAAACGCAAGCCTTATATTTGACGCTGTAACTTTTGAAAACACCATAAAACCTGTACATGAGGGGTACTGTTGTACTCGGGAGACTTAGCTGAACACAAATATATGTGTTTTAAAACAGTAAAAAGTATCGCAGCAATAATATCGTCCGTGTAAGTGCTGTTTGTGCGTGAAAAATGCAAAAAACTTCACTTTTACTGGCGATATCATCGTTGTAATACACTTTACTGTTTTGAAACACTAATATTTGTGTTCAGCGAAGTCTCCCGAGTAGAACAGTACCCCCCATGTACAGGTGTTATGGTGTCTTGGAAAGTTATAGGGTTAAATATAGTGCTAGCAAATTAAATTCCCTTTACTTTTTGCATGGGTTGTCAGGCAGGTCCGGCTAATTGTAATTAATTAAGATACCTAATTATGTAAAAATATTACATAAATATATATGTAGAATTAATATATGTATATATCTATATATATATATATATACGTATGTGTATATATATGTATATATCTATATAATTTTTTTTAAATATTTTTATTTATATATAGGTATATAATAGTGATATATACGTATATATTTATGTATATAGATATATATATTATTTTGTTCTACGTGTATTTTGATATATATATATATATATATATTAATTTCACAATACAGTTAGAACGAAATAACACACATCTATATATTTTTTAATTATTTATTTTTAATATTTTTTTTTTTATTTTTTTTTTTTAACGTATTTACATTTTTATTTTTTTTATATTATATATAAATATATATAACAATAATTATATATATATTTAATCAGTATCAGTCCAAGTGTAATTTTATATTAATATATATATATATATAATTATATATATATTAATAGTAAAATACACCTAGACGGTGTACGTGTGTGTATGTATATGTGTATATATATACTTAGATCATATATATATATAATATACATATATATATATATATATGATCTAAGTATATATTATTTTTTTTTACACTTTTTAATTTATTTAATTTTATTTTCAGCCAGCAGGGGGACCACCTGTCATTACAGGCAGCTCTCCTGCTTGCAATGCAGGAGGCAGCTACCCCCGGCCATGTGATTGTGGGGTCCTCGCAAGGACCCCACTCTCACATGGCCGGGGGGGCTTCCAGGATGTTGGACGTGCCGCGGGGGGCTCCCTGGGAGTCCCCCGAACCGCAATCGCCGGGGTGGGATCGCCGGCGACCCGGGTAAGTAGGAAAAGACCGGAGGGCGTACTATTATGCCCGGCGGCGTTTAGAGCCACTTAGAGTAGGGCGTAATAGTACACCCTCCGGTCTTAAGGGGTTAAAGGACACTAAGCATTTGTTGCAAGAACTAGACTCCATAGAATGGCATAGGAACTACATCTGGGTCACACTAGATGTAAGTTCTCTATATACAGTAATAGACCATAATTTGGTTTTGGAAGCTGTTAAAAACAATCTCGATCAAGATACCACTTTGGATCAGGGTTTTGTTTAATTTTTACTTGAGGCAATTAGGTTCATATTGACATACAATTTTTTCATGTTCAATGAAGAGTTTTTCCTACAAGTCAAGTGTTTGGCAATGGGCACCAGGTTTGCCCCCAGTTATGCCAATATATACATGGATTATTGGGAACGGACATTTATTTGGGCCAATAATCCATATGGGGCAAAACTGGTGCTTTGGCATCGGTATATCAATGATATCCTTTGATGAACAACTGCAAGACTTTTTTTCAATATTTAAACAATAATGCATTCTCATTGGTTTTTCGTTCTGTCTCCATCGATTTTTTTAGATTTCACTATTGCTCAGATCAGGCATTATATGTAGAGCAGGCATATATACATTTTTGGAAAAAGGATACAAGAGAAAACATTTACAAATGGAAGTTCAGAACATTGGGGTATCAACAGAGGAGATCTCCTAAATCCAAACTGAAGTCTAACTCTAACACCCAATACGATTTTCTTTTAATACACAGTTTAACTCCAAGGCCTTTTCCATTAATCAAATCCTTAAGAGACACTGGCCAATCCTCCAACCCGACGAGTACCTGGGATGCAAACTACCAGATATCCCAAGGGTCATCTACAGGAAAGGGAGAAAATTTTCAATCCACCTTACACCCAGTTTATTTCAGAATAAGAATATCACCAAGAAAATTAATACAAGGAAGGGGTTCTACACTTGTGGACACTGCAAGGCTTGCAGATTTGTGCCACCGCACACTTATTTATTCTCCAGTACGACAGCTGGAGAGGAATTTAAAATTCAGGGAGCGGTTGCCTGTTCATCTATACATGTGGTATACCTCCTCATATGTGGTGCCCCATATGTGGGAAGAACAGGGAAAAAAGCTAAAACCTGCTTTTTGGAACATCTAAACAATATTAAAAGAAAATCCTAAATCATTCTATTCCTGTACACTACAACAAATGTCCAGGGTTTAAAATCCAGAACTTTTCTTGGGTAATCATAGAACAAGTTACCCTAGATGCGAGATGTGGGGACGTAACTATGAAGTTAAGAGAAAGAGAGGGATTCTGGATACACAGACTTAAGACACTTCAACCATTAGGGCTGAATGTGGATTTTGATTAAATTTGTTTTTTTATGATTTTGATGCCTTTTTATATATTTTTTCATATATTTTTCCATCTATCATATATATTATATATAGTCCCGCACTATATATATATTTTTAAATTTTTTATCATTATTGAATATTATTGAGTTTTTTGGTCTGGTGTCTCCAGAATCCCTCCTTTTCTTCCACTTCTCTCTCTTGTTCTGTTATCTTGTGGTTCTCTGGACTACTCTGAGAGTAGTGTGATGCATGTTCTTTATTATTTTATTTTTTGGCATAACACATTTTTATACTTGATTTCACACTTGATTTTACACTTTGTGGCTTTGGGAAATACATACATATATTACATATATTGAACCATTAATATGTTTTGGTTCTCTAGACTACTCATTGAATAGTGTCATACATGGTTTTCATTTTTGGCATCATATATTTCATATATGTATTTGATTATATATTTTTTTAGGTTGTGGAAAACATATGCATATGTTGTATATAGTTAAACATTAATATGTTTTTATATGTCTTCATTATTCTGTACTCTACAATTAACAAGTATATATGCCTGCTCTACATATAATGCCTGATCTGAGCAATAGTGAAATCTAAAAAAATCGATGGAGACAGAACGAAAAACCAATGAGACTTATTCAGTTAATCCTGTGAAGGAAAAACGAAGTGGAACGCACATGCGTTCCAGCCGCATATCACTGCCATCAGCAACAACTACACAAGAAGTTAGAACACTTCCTGATCGGTGAAACGCATCTGTGTTCCACGGACATCTGCCAGAACCCCATATAAGGAAGAGAGACAACGAACAATTGGAAACAAGTGAATTGAGACAAGCGGATTGGCTAAGTGGATTCCGACACCTTTAGGAGGGACTTTTAAATACAGCTACGGTCCTCAGAGTTACTTAGGCATTTTATCTGCATAGTATTTCATTTTTGACTCATAATGAAGTCTAAATTAATAGACGAAACGCGTGGAGTTTATATTTTTTAATTATTGTTTTATTTACATCTGTATTCTTGCCTACCACTTCTGTGAAGAACCCTCCACTTTTTATCAAAAAGATTTGGAACACAGAACTATATTGATGGGCTTTTGTGTGATTTTAATTCATATCAGCACTGTACAATGTTTTTTTATTATTTTTTTTTCATAAATCACTGGATATCTGAACGAGGAAGAACCTGTTAGAGTCCATACGTGATTGATGAGCCTGAATATTTCTCCAATTTTGTGAGTGTAACATTTAAACAAAGGGCCAACTGTTAATCAATGTTATTTCCCTATGAGTTTTTCTTTCTCTGTTTATGTGTTTAGGTATATCTTATTTTTCCATGTCTTTAATTATAGCATCAGGTTAATGTAATATTAAAAATCCTATACCAATATGATATTGGTATCTAACCACTAAATGTGCAGACTTATTTTTACTGCTAGGTACTCAAAATCTACCTGTAGTAATAGAGCAAAATAAATACAAAAAAACAATATACGTAAAGACATAAAACTAAACAGGTTAGTGCTTTGTGGGGTTTACAAGTAGGAGCTGGTAGGTCTTGACATGCTTTTGAAATGTGCAGAGAGGTAATCTCTACATTGATATAATTATGAAGATCTTAGATTGGTTAAAACTATGGTACTTCTATTGTGATGCTTCCTTTCACATATTTTATTTTGTCACAAGAGAAGTTCACATGTAACTGCAATGTTCCTTTCTTGAATGGTGCACAGAAGATTTTCACAAAGCCAGATCGGAAAGGAAATATCTGGTCCATACTAGGAGAAGGAAAAAAAAAAAATACAAAAACACAATGAACCACAGAACGGCATACATTTTTTTTATATTCAACATATTAATGCATGCATGATTAACATTTAGAGAGGTGTAAGCTTTTTATTTGTCATTTGATATGTCATCTAGAGTGGTCTCTGTAAATTGCAAGCTTTTGTAAAACCCAATTACTGTTTATGTATGCATTATATATGGCTTTTATCCCCAACCACAAATAGATATAAAATTAATATTGTTTATTATTAATTTTTATTTTTTTTATCCCCCAGATTGTTTGTTACATAAAACTGAGAACCAAGACCACTGGGACACTCTAAGAACCCCACTCCAGCTATAACCCCCTACAGGCTAATAGCACACCTCCAAACCTTAGGCGGTATTCTTTATAAACCAACTGTTTCTGATGAAAAATAATACCTATGCTATTTTCAGTGGGTCTTGCCCCGGGCTATTGCCAATACAATTTGTTAGATGTAGTTGCAATGACAACTACCAGAGTAGCCTTCCAAGTGTGTTTACACACTTAGCAGAACAGGTGATTGGAACGTTTAATGTAAACATTCTGTAAAAATGTTTTTTTTCTTGAAACTGTGTGTGTCACAACAATGGGACACCTGGCTAGGTTTCATGAACAAAGTGATTTAACTCCTAATTAACAGACGATTCAGCAGTGACACGGCAGGAGTGGTATCTGTTCACCAAAACCACTTAATTCATTAATTAGAGTTTTCCTTTAACATAATAAGGAGAAGCTCCACATGTTATTGGTCATTACACCATGACAAAAAACATCCCATGCTTACTTAACAACAATGGGTCCATTGGGGGTTAGTCCAGCACCTTCAGACGACATGACGCAGTTGCTGAGTATATCATTAAATGGATTGGAAAACGACAACATGATACTCAGAGGCTCATAGAGTTTTGGCATTCCATATACCTATTTGGAGTACATTAAAGACAAACCAAAGTAGTTATAATACTGTAGTTATAATAAATAAAAAATTCCATGAATGCAATAATTATGACACATTGTGTAACAGACTCAACCATTAACATTACTGGTTTGTGAATAAGCTACATCTTATTTTCATAGTTGCATGTGTGTTTCCAAATGAAAGAAATGAAAGAAAAACAACGAAAGTGAAAAAAAAAATAGTCACATATGCTATGTTTGGTCTGTACAAGTGTGCACACTTCCACGATCCTGGTTTGTAGTGGAGAATTAATCACATTTATTTCTGACGGTTCTTAACGTATCTGTTATACTTTAGCATCCAACTATATTAAAGAGCTCAGTTGGTAAACGCACTTCCACACTAATAATTACCTTCGAGATGTATAATTATAATATGTATGCAACTCGAAAACTGTATGCATTTAAATGTTTCCTAACAAGTAGATTAATTTCATATTATAAACAAAGGCATACTTCCGGCTGGAAAAACACCCATTTAAAAATGATTTACATAAATAATTAATGTAGAGACAAATATAAATCATACCTACCAAGTGCCAAAATCTCTCTGTCCCTCTTTTCTATCCTAATTTCCCTCTTTTCTAGGACCTCTATATTGAGTGCAAAAGAGATCTCCAAAGCAATAATGCTCACAGTATTTTTTCTTTCATTTATAGTAAATGTGTTTAGCGTATAGTCAGTATAAATAAGATACATTGTTCTTGTTCTAAAGAACATTTTAGTTGTATAAATTTTTTTTAGTAAGTCACTTAAAACTTCTCAGAACAGACCTGACACTGGCCACACCCACAGTAGGGGTTTAAATAGGGCATCTCAAAATGGTCCATGGGAGATAGGGGTTGTGGGAAACTAAATATTCAATAGGGTACCAAGAGCTCTCTCTCTCTCTCTCTCTCTCTCTCTCTCTCTCTCTCTCTCTCTCTCTCTCTCTCTCTCTATATATATATATATATATATATATATATATATATATATATATATTACCGGGTGCCAGTCCCAGAGAACAACAAAAAACATACAAAAATAGGTTGGGTCTGCACTCATGGTTTGCGAAAAAACAAACAAAAAAAAACGGCTGCTTTTTTTACATGAAGAAGAAAAGTCCAATGAGATCGACTTTTCAGTCCCTGAACGGACTTTCATCAGGATCAAGGTACCTGATGTGATCCAGATGAAAGTTTCGTTCAGGAACTGAAACGTTGATCTCATTGGACTTTTTTTCTTCATGTAAATAAAGCAGCCATTTTTTTTTTTGCACAAACTGTGAGTGCAGACCCAATCTATTTTTGATACGGGTCTTCCAGTGAAAAAATGTGATTTATTGAAATATTATGACATCTAAGAAAAAATCTACGTTTCGACACTGGCGGATCTTTTTCAAGATCATAGTGTACAAAATCAAGTGAATATATACCAAAATATACTTACCAATCAATATATATATAGTATTTTTTTTTATTTATTTAATGACATCACCAGACAAGCCCACAGGGAGCGAGACTTGGCTAGGGATGCACAATAATTGGTGAGCTTTGCAAGGTTTTTGAAGTGAGCAAGGGCATATAAATGTTCCTGTAGAATAAGAAGATCAAGAGCCTTTTTTGGCTTTAAGGGTTTTATTTTTCCAGTAGATTTGTTTTTGTGTTTTTTTTTTTTTTATTACTTTATAGCTATATCTGGCCAACCTATTTTAGGCAAAAACAGGGAATTGAATGTCTTCAACCAAGACCCTGATGAAAGAAAAAGTTGAATTTTTTTTTTTATATATATATATGTGTTTTTTTTTTTTTATAGGTGAATTGGTGGATGGGGGTTTGGGCACTTTTTGCCACTGGGAGTCTGTTTGGCTCAAATTGGTCACCCACAGATCATTTTGTATCCAGTCTGATAGATTGGTCATTCCCTGGTAAACTTACCAATTGGGTAGGGGGTTTACTCTTTCTACTTTCCACCTACATCCATCCTCTCTCCGACACTTACTTCCACATATGAGGTGAAGGAAGAAGAGGGGAATTCACTGTCCCCTTGGTTAAAATTGGTTTCTGAGGATGTATTTTTTTATATACTTTCACTCAGGACTCAGAGCTAACAAGTCTTGCAGCCAAAGCCATATGCAGAGCCATAGACATGTGCAGCCCATTTAATTAGGGTGTGCACCAGGAAATTATTTCCCCATGTTATGTAATGTGAATATTTGTTAAAAGGTTGAGTGGATGTGTGGTGTGTGTGTTTTGTGTAGGGTGGAAGTAAGTGTTGTAGCTGTGTGTCGTGGCTTTCTATGTGTGATGTATAAGGCTGGCTGTGTGTAATGTGTGTACAGCTTTGAGTGATGTGTGTGGCTGGGTGTTGGTACCAGTGAGTGGTATGTGTAGCTGTATTAGTATCTGTGAGTGATTTTATTTGGGTCGATGTGAATGTTGTGCGTGGCAATATGTGATGTGTGGGAAATACATATGGGAAACAGTGGAATTTCCATTTATTACAAGATGGGAGGGGAGATTCAAGTTTGTTGCCCTTCAGACCAATAAAGGTAGTAGGGGGCTTAAGTGCTTTAGAAAGGGGTTAAAGGCAGTAATGAGGTGATATGAGCTATAGTAATGAATAGGGGAAGTAGTGGGGATCTGGGATCTGTAGTGGGTGTTAGGGGCAGTAGTGGGGGTTAGGAGCTATAGTGGTGATATGGGCTGTAATGGGTAGGAGTCCAGCTTCCATACTCTCCCAGGAGTTCATTACAAACATCCGTGGAAAAGAGCGTTTGTCACAAATATCAATAATAATGATTAAACTGTGTTTTCCTTGTAACCACTAGAGTCACTGTAGAACTCACTAGACAACAAAGGTTATTCACTAAACTTGCAGAAATAACAATTTTATTCCAGCCAGCTTGCTAATACAGCTGAGTTTAATGTTTGTTTGCTTGTTCGTTAGTTAGTTTGTTTTTTTCAGTTCAGCTACTTTTTGTTCCTAGAATTTGCAATCATTTTGTCAGATCTTGTCAATTTTCGGTTTAGTGAATAATACCCTATGTTGCAAGGCGAACAAATGAATAATTAAATATAGACTGTGCTAAAAACATACAATCTCTTATGTAGACTGAATATTCTGTATAACTCAACAGTGCCACATAGGTGTCAGACTTGTCATCTGCACAACCAAATTAATTCTCAGACACAAACTGCACGTTTCTCCAAACCTATGGAATTCTGCATGTCCTCTCCACACCTATATAGATCAAGCATTACACGCAGCATGAAGACACTTTGTGGTGTTCTTTAGAAGTGTTTTAGGAAATTGAATTTTATAACATGACAGGAGGCTTCGTATTTGCTTAAGTCTTTCTTTACTTAAGCTTCACAGCAGCACTTTTTTACTTAGTAACAGGGTAACCAATCAGAAAAAAGAGATAACAAGGTATAAGAGTCCCTCCCTGTGATGTCACTTCCTCTTTCTTTGCTGCTTCACACCAGTACAGGTCAGAGTGCCACTGCCTCTTACTTTCTGTGGGTTATTTACTATCCTGTTTATTCTAACTTGTTATTTAATCTTTGTTTTTTCTTAGCTATGTTTCCCATACTTTAGCTATATACTTATTTTCCTATTTCCTATTTTTAGCTATCTTTCTAAAGTTTTCTCTTAACTTATTCTCTATTACTGCCTAATTTTCTCCCTTTTATTCCTTTTGTACTGTCCCTTACGTTCTGTTTCGTTTTTCTATACATTTTTATTGTGTCTCTTACTTTTTATTGGTCCGGGTTGCGGTCGGCATATTTTGCCCCGTTTTTCCCGGGCTTTTGGGCTGTGGAGTACGCCTCCATCGACCCTGAGTGCGCACGGCGGCCATCTTGGATCTCGCGCATCGCCGCGAGATCCGAACATCCGTTTGCACCTTGTGCGCATGCGCGAGATCGCAACGGCCATTTTGTTGGAGCCGCGATCGGCAACCATTCTAGCCGCACGGCGGCCATTTTAATTGTTATTCGGCAGTACAAAAATCTTGCAAGATACACATATATATGTTCACTAACTTATGTTTCTCAGGACAATATTTCCCACAGAGCAGAATTTGTTTTTCACAGAGATACTTCTCTCTGTAATTCAGTTCAGGAGAATTTTCGCTTACACTACTCCCCCTGGTGGTGAATTAAAGGTACTACATTACCAATATTATTATGAATGTATATTAAACTACTCATTACTTTTATGTTGGGAGCAACCCCCAATACCAGACAGCTAAATATTTATCACATTCATATTGTGATTTTTCTAAGGGTAAATCCCTATGTATTTTATGATTGCTGTTATACCATACAGCCCATGACTGGCCCGCTTTGTCTGTGCCACCATACCTCTACACGAGTTTCAATAAGCACTCTCTGAGGTTATTGTTTCTGGGTGACCCCCATTACAGCTTGCACTGTTGAAATTAAATATCTTTTGATATACAAGACGGCCCTAAAATACATTCTAATGCTGGCCTATTCTGCCCCATAGGTACCAACACTGTTGCTATGGAGGCTTCAAACCAAGACCAAAATCTGCAAGCGATTATAAACGCGGCTGTTGCCGCTTCACTAGAAAAGACCCTGGCTCGGGTGCTGCCCATTGAGCCCAAAGATACCAAAATTTCTGAGCCCCCGCACTCTGATGAAGAGGCGGATGATTCTGATTCTACAATAAGGAACCCTTCCAAACTCAATAAACGATATTGGAAAGGGGATGGGCCAGAATCACTCAAACGCAAAGTGAAAGAACCGGCAAAACGCCCAAAACAAGCGGACGCCAAGGAAAAACATTCCATACAGCCTACCTTGTTGGAGGAGGAAGACGACTCTTTCGACTCACACCCATTGGCCATTCTAGATGAATGGCAAGCTGGCCACTCTTCAGAAGACAAAGAAGACTGGCCTGAGGCATCTTTCAGAGAAGCACCTTTCCCTCAAGATATCACGGGAGACCCCACTACGGAGGATTCAGTACCCGAAACCTTTCTGGATACGCTTGGTGAACCCCTATTTGACCCACGACAGATCAGATACGCTCGATCTTCTGAATGGTCACTCCCAAATCACCTTTCACAATATATCCATTTCTGGATAAGGAGACCCCTAGACCGGGAGGTCCGCAAACGCCTAAGAGCTGAATGCCCTAGACCCACCTTGCCGGACAAGGTCGCTATGACCCCGGAGTTTGATTCCCTGCTCTACACATATTTAGCCAGATCTGGCCGTGACCCTAAAAAGGGCATTGAACGCAGCCTACGCCTCACCCAGGACAAGATGTTGGATGTCCTAGGGCCCTTGGCAAGAATTCTACTACTGGCTGATGAAGCCCTCACTAACGAGGGCCCTTTAGACCCATCTGTGATCAGAGAATGGGCACTACGCTCCATTTGCCTGCTGGGCAATGCAAATACATCCCTCTCTACCGAGCGTAGAAAAGCAGTGCTGCTGCGTATGGATGCCAAACTAGCCGACCTGGGGACCGAAGAGTTGGGCCCCAAGGCCAAGGGTCTATTATTTGGAGAACCTTATATTAAAGAATTACACAAGCATGTAAATTTATACGCCACCCTGAACAAGGCGCAATCATCCATGAGAAGAGTATTCCACCAACAACCCTCTCGAGTTTTTGGCAGGGCTGGCCGTCCAAGGGGTCGTACAGTCAGCCGCTTCTGGCCTACAAGCCAACGCCAACGAACCCCCACTTCACCATTCTTCCCCAACTATCAATCTAGAGGTTTCTACACCCAAAGGTCAGATAGGGGAAGAGGAGGTAGAGCCCGTGGACACTACAGATACCCAACAGGTGAGATTTCCTACTTTTCACCTCTCTACGGTTTCTCATGCGGGCAGGTTGTTACATTGTGTGGATATGTGGAAGACGCTGTCTTCAGATACATGGGTTCTAAACACGGTTCATGATTATTTCATAGAGTTTTATTCTCTCCCTACTCAAACAGGTCCTCCCCATTACCTGATAATGTCAAAATCTCAATGGCTCCTCCTCGATTCAGAACTACGTTCCTTGCTAACAAAAGGAGCGATTCAACCCGCTCCACACGACGAAGGCTTTCTAAGTTCCATATTCCTGGTCAAAAAGAAATCGGGAGAATTCCTCCCGGTAATCAACCTTCGCCAATTGAATACCTTCGTGATATACCGGCATTTGAAAATGGAAGGGATACATCTCCTCAGAGACATTCTCCGACCAGGCGATTGGTTCACCCGACTCGACCTCAAGGATGCTTACCTCTCCGTGCCAGTACATCCATCCAGTCGACGTTTCCTCCGCTTCCCCTGGCACCACCGGATCTTCCAATTCACCTGCCTTCCATTAAGCCTGAGTTCCGTTCCCTGGTGCTTCACCAAACTGCTTAAGCCAGTCACCGCACATCTTCGAGCAAGGGGTTTTCGCTGCTTAATCTACCTCGACGACCTCTTACTACTCTGCGACGACACCTCCAGGCTGCAATCACAGACGAACTACACATCCTCATTGATAGAATCCTTGGGATTCGTCATCAACAAGGAAAAATCCTCGCTGACTCCATCCCAAATCATACAGTTTCTCGGCTTCGAGATTGACTCCTCCACCTGTGTTCTCCGCCTGCCTCAGTCCAAGTTAACCGCTATCAGGAAGGAACTGCGCAAGACGCTTCGTCAAGTGGATCTACCTCTCCGAGGTTTAGCGCGGATTATAGGCCTGCTTTCTGCCTCCATTCAAGCAATCTACCCAGGTCCGCTCCATTATCGGGCCATGCAACGCTTGAAGGTTCAATTCCTCCAGATCCATCCATCATACGACCAAAGGGTCCCGATCACTACCGAGGTGAGGGAGGAACTCTACTGGTGGCTTCGCCACATGTCTGCCTGGAACGGCAAAGCAATTTTGGTCCCACTCCGGACTTTGTGGTGGAATCAAACGCGAGCCTCCAAGGCTGGGGCGCAACTTGTCATACAACTTCCACCGGGGGACCATGGACCGATGCAGAACACTCTCTCCACATCAACTGTCTGGAATTAATCGCAGGATCGTTTGCAATCCGCAGTCTGGCCAATCATCTCTCAGACTGTTGTATTCTCCTCCGAATGGACAATATCTCGGCCGTTCAATACATCAACAAATTGGGCGGGGCCAGATCTCACACCCTGTCCGAGGTGACAAAGGACATCTACAATTTTTGCTTCCAGCGCAACATAACACTCCGGGCAGAATACCTCCCGGGGGAGACGAACACCACCGCGGATTGGTTCTCCCGACATTGGAGAGACGGCAGCGACTGGCGCTTACATAGGTCAGTCTTCCTCCACGTCTCCAAACTCAGGGGCCCGTTTACTCTGGACCTTTTCGCCTCCCGGACGAATTTTCAAGTCCCACGCTTCTTCAGCTGGCTACCAGACCCGGAATGTTTGGCAGTAGATGCCTTTCTTCAGAAATGGCCGACGGCGGGAGCCTACGCCTTCCCTCCATTTGCGATGATCCCAAGAACCCTTCTTCAGATTCGCAGACAACAGGTCACACCGGTACTACTCACCCCGCTCTGGCAGGGCCAAGCATGGTTCCCAGATCTCCTGGACCTCTCCTGCCAACATCCCCTCCTTCTACCTCTATGGCCCAACCTGTTAGAGGACCCTCAAGGAAACCCTCATCCGATGATAATGCAAGATCATCTCCAATTAGTGGCTTGGACTCTTTCAGGGGATCCTGGAATTTCGTAGAATTATCGCAGAGATCTAAAGAACTTCTCTGGGATTCCTGGGCTCCTGGAACCAGAAGATGCTACCTTTCTTCCTGGAGTACTTGGTGCAATTGGTGCATGGAACGGAATACCGATCCCCTTACAGCCCCTAGACAGTTCATACTGAATTTCCTCTCGCACCTGTTCGACTTAGGCCGTACATACCGGTCCATCAACGTGGCCCGGTCAGCAATCTCGGCAGCCCATGTCCCTCTACACGGAATTCCAGCGGGCCAGGACCCGCTGGTTTGCAGACTATTGAGGGGCATCAAACTGGCTCGCCCCCCAACACCAAAATACTCCCATCTATGGGATGTTAATGTCATGATTTGTTTCCTTGAAACCTGGCCGAACAACGAAGATCTAACCCTCCGTCAACTCTCGGCAAAATTCACCCTGCTACTCTGCTTAGAATCCTTCCGACGAGTGTTGGATGTTCGAGCATTTGACCATGACGCTATCAATTTTTCCCCTTAAGGTGTCACCTTTTCCGTGTCCAGACGGACAAAATCAAACTCTTCTTCGGTGTTTTAACCTTATTTCCCTAACCATCCAAAATTGTGTGTGGTATCACTTCTCTCTCGTTATTTACTACTCACCTCCTCTCTTGGTTCAACCTCCTCCAGCCAACTATTGATCTCCTACGTCCGACCACATAATCCGGTGTCAACCATAACCCTTGCCCGATGGGTTAGGTGGTTGCTCTCCCTTGCTGGGATTGAGGCCTCCTTCGGAGCCCACTCCATCAGGGGAGCGACGTCATCGGGAGCTTTCAGCGCTGGAGCCTCACTTCGGGACATTCTCCACTCAGCAGACTGGTCCCGGGAACAGACCTTCCGCAACTTCTATTTTCGTCCGGCTGTGCACGCTTCCTTAGCCCTTCTTGGGGAGCGTTAAAACAGCAAATACGAAGCCTCCTGTCATGTTATAAAATTGTAGATTATGCTAACTTTAGTGTACCGATAATCTTAATTTTATTAATGACAGGAGGCGAGTATTTCCCACCCTTTACTCTCGTTCTTTTTCCCCTCCCTAAGGTCACCTATCTAGGTAAGTTCATCTAGACTAAATACATACTCTATGTACCTCTACCGTGGGGGGGCTAAGGGTTTCTCTCTAGGGGTGGATAGTTTACACTTCGTAGGAGGCGGGCTTTTAGACAGGATTTTCTAAATACCGAATGTCATATTTTATAAGTCCAATTCTCGGATTAATCCTTGGTTTCAACTCTGCTTTCTCGTTTCAGCATAAAGCCCCTCATGAAGACAAGTTCAGTTGCCGTTCCATCTCAAGCATCACCTCAGCTCTCTAAGAAGACATGCTTACGTTCCTGTTCCCTCTCTAGCATTTGCTTTCTCATCTGGCATCCTGAATTCCTCATCCGGTTCAGTTGCAGTTCCTGTTCCTATTTGTTCGCAGCCAGAAAGAGGAAGTGACATCACAGGGAGGGACTCTTATACCTTGTTATCTCTTTTTTCTGATTGGTTACCCTGTTACTAAGTAAAAAAGTGCAGCTGTGAAGCTTAAGTAAAGAAAGACTTAAGCAAATACTTGCCTCCTGTCATTAATAAAATTAAGATTATCGGTACACTAAAGTTAGCATAATCTACAATTATTGCATATATTACATTTTTTAATTTAAAATGGTCAAAGGAACACTCTGCTCACATACATCATAGCGGGGTTGCTGAAGTACTTGATGTGTCTGGAGCCTGTTACGTTTGTGACAGTTCATAACACTGCTGATTTGCAATGAATTCTTGCTAGAATTCATCGGTTGCCGCTACCTGTCAGAATCTCTTCACTCTGCACTAGACCTGATGGTGAAGTACTAAGCTCATTTGTTTGACATGAGCTTCAGGTTCTCAAAACTGTAAGGAAAGAGGCAGCGCCCAGGAGATCTCAGGTAAGAAATCAAACCATTAGCAAACAATTTGTCTACTTACATTGGGAGCCTGCCAGGGCACCTCTGGAACCATAACTACTACTACAGTGTGATGTAGTGGTTATAGTGCTTGAAGTGTTCCTTTTAGGATTTTAGAACATCCTTAGACATGCTATCGATCCACATTTTTGTAGGTGTTATGTTTCCAATACCCTAGCGACAGGTGTAAATGGGTCATTAATTTTAATTTCCTATCAGGATTTATAGTACAAAGAAAATAAATATTCGCTATCACTTTTAACCCACGTTTACAACCCTGGAGTACTGGATTTTTTTTTCCAGAGGGCATACAGTTTAATTACCAGTCAAACCAAAATTCTGGGGAATTTTCAAGAAGATCATTGCAAAATGTGTTCAAAAACTCAAAAAACAACAACTGATGAATTGGCCTAAAATTTCACTTGCAGCTGTCAGTTTTCCAAAATTCTTGGATTAATTAATAAACATAATTTATATCATTTAGTGACATTGCTAATATATATATATATATATATGTGAATGTTAAACTTACTTTGATATCTATTGATGGCAGATCAAATATGATGTTTTTAATCGCTAGTTTAAGTGTTTTATTCTTTGCATCTGTAGCTAGTGCAGTTACTCTGATGTTATTACCCGACCTTACATGTCTCTGGTATTGATATGGGTTAATCTGGAATCTCGTCTCTGCAGCTGAAAGTTGAAAAAGATGACAGTTTAGCAATCAATTACTTTACCATTTCTTCCTCACTTTGTCTCACAAGTTCATCATTCGTTCCTTCCTCACTTTGTCCCACTAGTTTTTACAATTAATTTATGCACCTCTAGAATACTAAACAGATATACGTGTGAGCATTGGTGGACCTGTGACCTAAAATCGTACCTGCCATATGCTGTCCTCATTAATTACCCTTTTCTCTACAGAGCTGGTTTAGTTAAAGGGACACTCTACTGTCCATTTTTTTTTCAAGGTCTCTGTTTAGTAGATATACTTCCAATTGAAACATCCATGCATTTAATTATGCATTCCTGTTCAAACATGGCAGCATTTACTCATGGCTTAGCTCCTTCACTCACAGCAGAAATATAACTCTGAAATTGGTATACATAGATCCACCCTTTCCTAAGGTTGCCACATGGCCGATATTTTACCGGCACAGCTGGTATTTAAGGCTTTGTAACCAGTGCCAGTATTGCAAATATACCCACAATAGAATTGCCGGTATTTTTCTGTGAGAAGAATGTACTGCAATACCAGCACCGGCCACCAGGGTGTGCAGTGTTCCCAGGCTGAGCTAGGAAGACTCATTGGTGCCTGAGCTATGTGTGGAGAAGGTGGGATAGAAGTCACAGCATTTTCCTGTCCTCTCCACTGACAGAATCTGCATGAGAGGAGTGGGAGGAGCAGAGCTACAGGACAAGGTGAAGCATGGCAGAAGGAACTGAGTCCAGAGAGCAAGTATAAGTGTGTGTATTCAGCAGTCTGTGTGTGTGTGTGTGACTATTCAGCAGTTTGTCTGTGTGTATTCAGAAGTCTGTGTGTGTATGTATTCAGCAGTCTTGTGTATTTAGCAGTCTGTGTGTGTATTCAGCAGTCTGTGTGTATGCGTATTCAGTAGTCTCTGTGTGTGTTTTCAGCAGTCTGTGTGTATGCGTATTCAGTAGTCTCTGTGTGTATTCAGCAGTTAGTGTGTATTTTTCAGTTTGTGTGTGTATTCAGCACTCTGTGTGTACTCAGCAGTCTGTGTGTGTATTCAGCAGTCTATGTGTATGCATATTCAGTAGTCTCTGTGTGTGTATTCAGCAGTTAGTGTGTATTTGTATTTAGCAATTTGTGTATGTATTCAGCAGTCTGTGGGTATTCAGTAGTTTCAGTGTGTATTCAGCAGTTTCTATTTCTGTATTCAGCAATCTCTGTGTGTATGTATTCAGCAGTATGTGTGTATTTTTAAGTCTGCGTTTGTGTATTCAGCATTCTATGTGTGTGTATTCAGCAGTCTGTGCTTGTGTATTCAGCGGTCTGGGTGTGTATTTAGCAGTCTCTGCGTGTGTATTCAGCAGTCTGTGTGTGTCTGTATTCAGCAGTCTCTGTGTGTGTATTCGGCAGTCTGTGTGTGTGTGTATTCAGACATCTGTGTGTGTATTTAGCAGTCTGTGTGTGTTTATTTAGTGGTCTGTGTGTATATTCAGCAGTGTCTGTATATGCATTTAGCAGTCTGTGTATTCAGCAGTCTATGTGTGTGTATTTAGCACTCTGTATGTGTATTTAGCCGTCTCTGTGTGTGTATAAGCCCTATATTGAAGTCTTAGCTTTACAACATACCATAAAACCTGTACATAGGGGGATACTGTTGTATGGGGGAAACATGAATATTAGTGTTTTAAGACAGTAAAACATATAATGACCATGATATTATCATGGAAAGTGCTGTTTGTGTGTGAAAAATGCAGAAAACAAATATGAATGCTAACTTTGACCAACGTTTGTGACTAAGTGACTACTAAAAAAGACTGGACATACCTTATTTTGAATACCTTGGGTTGTCTACTTTTTCAAATGGTATGCCATGATGGGGTTAATATTCATTAATGAAGAAAAATAAGGCCAAAATGTTCTCACAGCAAAGTGAGAGCAGGGACCCTGGATATAAAACAGGATCTACATAGAAAGTGGTGGATAGCTACAGTGAGAGTATGTGTACCAAATGGTTATAGTGGAAAAAATAGCTAAATTAGAAAAAAAAAAGTTTTGTATCTTTAACTGCAAGGAAACATTATTTTAATCTTGTGGGCTTCAACCATAATATTGTATTTAGAAACATCTCTTATTGCATATATTGAATGCAATAAATAACTAAAGTTATTCCCCTTGTTACTTCACTTCTAGTCTTGTTACATTTGGGTGTGTTTGCAAATGAGAAATAGATTCTCCACATCTTATGAAATACATATGGTGTAACCAGCACACAATATTCTGCCAAGTGTTATGGTTAATGGGACACTATAAGCATGTAATCTCAATTAATTGGTTATAGTTCATGAAGTTTCCTGGTACTGTCCCTTCATTCTGTATTCTGAGCAGTTTAACATTAAATAAGGGTATCTGTCTACCCACACCGCAGCTCCTACTGGATGTATGGTTAAAGGGACACTATAGACATCCAGACCATTTCAGCTCATTGATGCGGTCTGCGTGCAGTGCCCCAGGTCCCTTAACCGTACAATGGTAATTATTGCAGCTTTTAATGAATTGCAATAATTACCTGCTAAGGGTAACTTCACCTCTAGTGGCTGTTTATCAGACAGGCACAAGAGGGACATCCGGACTGTTAGGCACTTTTGGTTGCCTTACTGACGCCGGACGTCTTCACGCTATGCATGGTGCCGTCCAGCGTCACCCAAAACCCAAAAAGAAAGCATTGTATTATGAAGGCGGACCTGAGCCAGCACCGATGGACATCGGTGCTATAGATATCTGGCACTATAGTTTCCCTTTAATGCCAAATCATACCAGCAGTGGGCCATGTGTATGTCATAGGCTGAATGCAGTCTGCTGACACTCATCTAATCACAGCCACCCATTGCTGCTCAGCAGGGGTTGAGTCCTACAGGAACGCGTGGGAGCGGCGCTCCTGCACTTTTTCCACAGCAGGACCCAGGGCTGGCACAAGCGGCCGCCAGAGCAGGGGGCAGCACAAATCCGAATCCCCTGCCTCTGGCTGGGGACTCGGATTTCTAAACTCACCTCTCTCCATGCAACCAGTGGAGTCGGCCGGCCTCTCCTGATGATGTCAGGGGGAGGGGGCGTGACTTTCACTGCTCTTCTCATAGGACCGCTGAGGAGTCTGGGAGAAGAGCAGAGGAAGTCATGCCCCCTCCTCCTGACATCATCAGGAAAGGCCGACTAACTCCACTGACTGCAGGCTGCAGGCTCCAGATCCTGCCCCCACCCTCCTGGCCCAAGGTAAGCCTCAGGGAGGGTTTTTGTTTTTTTATCCCCTTCCTCAGTCCCTGTCCCCCTCCTCAGCTCATATCCCCCTCCACAGTCCCTGTCCCCCTCCTCAGCTGTGTCCCCTTACTCGGCCCATGCCCCCCTCCTCAGCCCATGGCCCCCTCATCAGTCCCTGTCACCTTCCTCAGTCCCTGTCACCTTCCTCAGCCCCTTCCCCTCTCCTCAGCCCCTGTCCTCTTCACGCAGCCCTTGTCCCCCTCATTCAGCCCTTGCCCCCCTACTCAGCCCCGTTCCCTTACTCAGCCCCGTTCCCTTACTCAGCCCCATTCCCTTACTCAGCCCCTGCCCAACTTGAATACAAGTGTATAATTATTTTATTTTGAGGTGGGGGGGTGGATCGATCTTGGGTGAGTTCCCACACTTTTTTACCCAGGACTTGACCCCTGCTGCTCAGTCTAATACTTCCTCATTAGCCCAAGCAGTACAGAGGGTATGGGCTGCTAAAGACTCTCGTTTAGCATTGAAACATAAAAAACTTTTAAAGCTAAGGCATGTCCAACTTCGACGTGACACACTGTCACACTGACAAGTGATTTTTGCACCCCCCACTCGGCTTGCACCCCTAGCGGGTGCCTGTTTCGTCAGCCCCACGGTACGCCCCTGCTTGTTCCACCTGTCCTTACGTTTCACTCTACTTCTACCTCCCCTTTCACTACCTTCAAACTCCTATCAGTCAGAGAGGTAGGTGTTTATACAATTAAGTAAGGTGCTCCTACCCAAACATAGCTCGAGCCTTGTGCAAAACATCTGTTTTGGGCCAACACCCTAAAATACACATATAAACCTTAGGAGAAAATATGACTCTACATGGGTGAAATAGGGTCAACTTTTAGATTTAGTTTTCCTGCTGTTAGTTTTAGTTCTATGTAGGTTTCCACTAATGCAGACACACTAAAAATGATCTCACTACACGTCCAAGGCCTAAAAAGCCCGCATAAATGGTGCTTAGCTATTCAGGAAATGCACAGATCTCAGGCAGCTATTGTGTTCTCATTTCTGCTCCCGTAGATTCGTATCAAAACACTACCCTCAAATGTACCATGGTCCAAAGGTGTATCGATTTTTTTTTCTACTCTGATTGGGTGTTGCAGCTGGACAAAAAGTACGAGGATGCTCTGGGACGCCTCTTGATCCTGGTGGGCTCATTAAATGGTATTCATCTAACTATAGTATCACTGTATGTGCCCAACATTGATCAAGCATCATTATTGTGCAACACATTCAAGAAAAAAAAATTCTAAGTAGTGGCCATATAATAGTGTGCAGTGATTTTAATTGCACACTTGATCCAAATTTGGATATTTTGAGAGAAAACAATGTACAGCCTGGCCAACAGAAACAGTTATTGAGTCACAAATTAGCAAATATATTATACGGTAATGGGTTGTGATATGTGGAGGTGTCTTTATCCATCTGCAAAGGAATTTTCCTTCTTCTCCCCAGTTCATCTAACTTACTCACACATAGACATGTGCCTGGTAGATAGTGACACTCTCAACAACATTGCTGAGGTACACATAGGGAAAAGGATGTGGTATGATAATGCCACGTCAGTAGTCACTTGTAATATGCAATACCAAGTCCGAGGAAGGGGTAAGTGGCGACTAAATGAAGCAGTCCTAGACACTCCTGCCCATATCCCATAATTAACAGCAGACGAACATTTTTTTATAGAAAACACCACTGACTCTACTTCAATCCCAACAAGATGGTTGGCCCATAAGGCTGTAATGCGTGGATGTTTTATACAAATAGGTTCCCTGCGTAAGAGAAAGGTTTGCACGGCCCGGTCACGGCTCTTTGGGGAACTGGGCACCCTAGAAAAAAACAATGTCTCCAAAGAACTTGGTGAGCCAGATCTTCAGGACACTGAGAGACAAATGAGATTGTTAAGACAAACCCATTACCGACAGGTAAAACAAAGCAGGGAAGCTGATAGCTAGGAAACTGAAAGCAAACTTTTTACTGACTAAAATCCCATATATTGTCTCCACACAAAATACAAGACTGTACAGCTCATATGATATTGTAGACGAGCTTGCTAAGTATTATTATGTACTCTACAATCTGAAATATGTGCAGGACCTCCATCAACCCACGCAGGACAACATTTTAAGTTTTTTAGGAGAAACTACCCTCCCCAAATTAACACATGCTCACTTCCAACTCCTTTTATGGAAGATAGAGTATGCACACCTCATCTGACTGAACTATTCAATTACATTGAGACTTTGGGCACGGTTCCAAAATGCTGCAAGTACACAAACCAGGCAAACCTCCAACTGAATGTGCAAATTTAAGACCGATATCGCTACTTAATGCTGATATCAAACTTTACACAAACATCTTAGCCTCGAGACTAAAGCCCCTGATAACATTGATTTTGAATGATCTTTGGAACTGTACCTAAATTACGTAAACTACAAAATCAACAACTGTGTATCAGAACAAATTCAAATAGTAAAATGACAGTAGTCTGCTCTTTTAAATATCTAGGGATGTTGCTAGATCCCAATCTGTCCTGTTGCCTTCACATTGAAAAAAATATCTTCAAAACCTTACCCAAAACTAGGTGCCCTGCACAGAAAAAAATCCTGCCTAAGCAATACAGTAAGGAAACAGATGCGAATGCCGGTCATTGATTATGGGGATGTAGAGTATGCACCCGCACTGCAAACCGACCTTATTAAACGTAATACTTTATATAATTCGTTCTGCTGCTTTGTACGAGAATGTAATTACTTTACCCACCACTGTGACCTGTTAAAGAGCTACACTGGCTGTCGCTGTAATCCCAATGCACTCTTCACCTTTCCAGCCTTTTGCATAAGAGCGTTTCTGGGAAGCTCCCACCCTACCTGAGTAGAATGCTCTCCCCAGCTGTTCCCACCTCCTATAACCTCTGATCCAGTACTAGCACACTATACTGAAATACAAAAACAAAGTGGCTCAATCCTCATTTTTCTACAGAGCACCGCAATTATGGAATAACCTCAGGGACACAGTCAAATCTTCATTCTATCTAAAATATATTAAGAGATCTATGGCAATATACCTCAGCATAGAATGCACCTGTCACGGTTGAATATATTTATGTTTTGTGGACCCAGGACATACTTGAAAACAAGAAAAGTCTCAATGTAAATAATAAAATAAATAAATCTTCAGAACAAGTGGGATTTGTCCCAAGAAGATGGGCTGGTGACAATACCAGACACTTTATAAATCTCATTGACTGGGCCCACTTAAGCAGACAGCAAGGTCTACTTGTGGCAGTAGACAGAAAATGCATCTGAACACGTAAACTGGGAATATATGGCATCAACGCTCCGTGCACTTTACTTCCCCACAGAGTGTCACGTACAGGTGATACTCAAAAAATTAGAATATCGTGCAAAAGTTCATTTATTTCAGTAATGCAACGTAAGAGGGGAAACTAATATATGAGATAGATGCATTACATGCAAAGCAAGATAGTTCAAGCCGTGATTTGTCGTACGTGCGATGATTATGGCTTACAGCTCATGAAAACCCAAAATCCACAATCTCAGTAAATTAGAATATTGTGAAAAGGTGCAATATTCTAGGCTCACAGTGTCCCACTAATCAGCTAAGTAAGCCATAACACCTGCAAAGGATTTCTGAGCCTTTAAATGGTCTCTCAGTCTGGTTCAGTAGGAACCCAAATCATGGGGAAGACTCCTGGCCTGACAGTTGTGCAGAAAACCATAATTGACACCCTCCATAAGGAGGGAAAGCCTCAAAAGGTAATTGCGAAGGAAATTGGATGTTCCCAAAGTGCTGTATCAAAGCACATTAATAGAAAGTTATGTGGAAGGGAAAAGTGTGGAAGAAAAAGGTGCACAAGCAGCAGGGATGGAGAGGATTGTCAGGAAAAGGCCATTCAAAAGTGTTGGGGACTTTCACAAGGAGTGGACTGAGGCTGGAGTCAGTGCATCAAGAGCCACCACAAACAGACGGATCCTGGACATGGGCTTCAGATGTCGTATTCCTCTTGTCAAGCCGCTTCTGAACAACAAACAACGTCAGAAGTGTCTTACCTGGGCTAAAGAAAAACAGACCTGGTCTGTTGCTCAGTGGTCCAAAGTCCTCTTTTCTAATGAGAGCAACATTTGCATCTCATTTTGAAACCAAGGACCCAGAGTCTGGAGGAAGAATGGAGAGGCACACACTGCATGATGCTTGTAGTCCAGTGTGAAGTTTCCACAGTCTGTGTTGTATTGGGGAGCCATGTCATTGGCTGGTGTTGGTCCACTGTGCTTCATTAAGTCCAAGGTCAACGCAGCTGTCCACTAGGGGTTTTTGGAGCACTCCATGCTTCTTTCCGCAGACAAGCTTTATGTGGATGCTGACTTCATTTTCCAGCACCTGCCCACACTGCCAAAAGCACAAAAGCCTGGTTCAATGACTGTGGGATTACTGTGCTTGATTGGCCAGCAAACTCGCCTGACCTAAACCCCATAGAGAATCTATGGGGCATTGCCAAGAGAAAGATGAGAGACATGAGACCGAACAATGCAGAAGAGCTGAAGGCCGCTATTGAAGCATCCTGGTCTCCCATAACACCTCAGCAATGCCACAGGCTGATAGCTTCCATGCCACTTCGCATCGAGGCAGTAATTGCTGAAAAAGTGGCCCAAACCAAGTACTGAGTCCATATGCATGCTTATACTTTTCAGAGGTCCGTTATTGTTCTATGTACACTCCCTTGTTTTATTGATTGCATGTAATATTCTAATTTACTGAGATTGTGGATTTGGGGTTTTTATGAGCTGTAAGCCATAATCATCGCACTTAAGACAAATCACGGCTTGAACTATTTTGTTTTGCATGTAATGTGTCTATCTCATATATTAGTTTCCCCTTTTATCTTGCATTACTGAAATAAATGAACTTTTGAACTGTATTCTAATTTTTCGAGTATTACCTGTATTCATCCACACACACAAATGTGGTTAATGGCATTTACTTTCCTGACAGGAAAAGTTGTGCCAAGCAATATCACCGTCCTGACAGGAAAAGTTGGGCCGAGCAAAATTACTGTCCTGACAGGAAAAGTTGTGCCGAGCAGCATTACTGTCCTGACAGGAAAAGTTGTGCTGAGCAACATTACTGTCCTGACAGGAAAAGTTGTGCCGAGCAGCAATCATGCAAATGGAAACCTGGTTATTGCCTTTGGGGTCAAAGACCGGTTACAGCCAACCGGATCCACAGGAGGGGTATTTAGGCCCAGTTCTCCTCTTGCTCAGTGCCCTGTCGTGGTTTCATGCCTATTGTTATCCGAGAGTGTGTTCCTGATCTTGATTTTCTGGTATTTGACTTTTGGCTTTCCCTCATCTTTGTGTGTGATTCCTCGGCAAGTATTTTGACTATTCTTGGCTATACGTTATCCTTAGTCCTAGGAGTGACACAGTACTGCGTGCTGGATCAACTTGAAATCCTGAAGAGCATTCTTGCTTTATATTCGTCCCCATTAGCTAGGGGGTTCAACACAGGCTTTTTACAATCTCCAACGGGACACGCCAGGGCAGTCCCTTGTCACCTTTAATCTTTATCCTAAGCCTGGAAACTCTAATCAGACATATTAAACAAACTTTGATAAATTCAGGACTCTCTACTTTTGCAGGAGAGCAGAAAATTGCAGCGTTTGCAGACGACGTATAACCTTTCCTGACCAAACCAGAAAGATCCCTCCCCATGCTTTGTTACAAACTCTAGTCATATACAGCCAACTATCGTACTATAAAAACAACACAAAAACAAACAAACAAATACTGCCTATTGGCTTACCGCTACGGACAGTACAACTCCTACAAACCACATTTGCTTTTGACTGGTGCAAAACTTCAATTTGTGAATCAAACTGACAAAAACATCTACTCTTCTGTTGCAAGAAAATCACTTAGCTTTAAAAACCAAACTAGAGAGACAGCTAGAGACATGGGGAGGCCTGGAGGTGTTGTGGCTGGGCTGCATAAACTCTATAATAATATAACAATGATGATTATGCCTCATGTTTTATATATATTCCGCACTATCCCTATAGAGGTACCTAACGCTTTACTGACAAAATTACAAGCTCATATTAACGGCCATATTTGGAAAAAAAACATCCTCCAAGGATTTCACATGCCATAGCAAGGAAGCATTCCAAACAAGGTGTTTTAGGTATTCCTTGCATTCCAACGTACTACATAGCTTCTGCTCTCACTCAGGGTCTAACAGTGCTTACTCTCAGGCACCCGTGTGGCTTCCTCTCGAGAATGCATGCGTGATGCCAGACACAGTGCAGCAACTGCTCTGGTCTACTTCCTGGTTGGTAAAAGACAATATATCAACACTACACTGTGCCAAACACACACTAAAAAGTTGGAATCACTGAGCCCCGAAATGAATGGCATCTGCTAACATGTTATCTCTAGCCCCGTAACACGTAATTGCAACCTCTAAAATAACTTATGATTTTGCAATTACACACTGGGTGCAGGGGGGGCGCCACCATAGTAGGTATGCTGTGCAATACCACGGGCGTTAAAGCTTTTGCTGACTTACAATCAAAATTCTCCTTACCATCAAGGCAAAAATCTTCATATATCTTAGGTTGAAACATATTCTCACTACCAGACAGGTGCAAGCATGTCAAACGTCTGAAATCACTACATTTGGCCACAAATGCTTAGGGTGCTTACCCAAATCTAAACCACTATCCTCATGTTATAATGCAATGACGGCCATGGGTGGGAAAGTGAAATTGCCTTATATGTTAAAATGGGAATAAGACCTGGGCAAACCATTCTCCCTATCCCAATGGTCTTACACCTTAAGGGCTACAAAATTGTCATCCCACTGCCTAACACATTGGGAAGCATATTGCAAGATTTTAATAAGATGGTACCAAAACAAATAGCTAATATATACGAGACTGCTTCCCCAAACTGTTGGAGATGTACAAGTGCAATCATAACATATTTTCTGGGACTGTCAAGAACTACAACACTTTTGGGGCAGGATAAGTTCACTCCTACAAATAATAACTGGTACACATATACCTCGCAACCAGAACACTACCTGCTCCATCTGATACCCTTGTTAGATGAAATACCACACAGGTTAGTGATCATCTACTTTCTCCTGGCTCCGAAGATGAGCATAGCGGCCTGCTGGTGGACAACCCATCCTCCTTCTACTAAGGAAGTTCTTAATAGACTACCATTACGAACAAATTGCATACAAGGTAAAGAAACTACACATACAAAGCTGTGGTCCAGCTTACATAGGACACGACTATTCATACTGCATGCTCTGCAAACCTGAGGTTGAGCAATGATGTAATTTGTGCAGATGATTGTATTTGTGATAATCTGTTGCATTTTATGATACCCTATAACTCATTGATAAACTGAATGACTCAATACTCTCAGAGGTGATATTCCTGTTCTTTCTCTTTCCTCTCTCTCCATTCCAATCCCCTTGCTCTCCCTCCTTTCACGTCTCTTTCCACTCTTCCCTCAGAGGTACTTGCTAGCTTGAGCCAAATTCAGCAATTTTGTAATGAGTTATGATATGCAAACTTCAGTGAGACATATCGCTAATGCACTTCCATTTCCAAAATTGTGCATAACACAGATATTTAACCAAGAATTGAAGTCCAAGAGCAAGGTGACATTGTCAAATGTTGGAAATACTACTTTCTCAATATGGTTGCCAGAAGATATGTCTTGCATGTGTCCATTGAAATGTTACTGTCCTACTGTTACACCAAAGCTAAGTGTTTATTCTAATCGCTTTGATGTATATCCTTATATCAGATCAATATACTGCATCTTGCTCCGTGTTACTAGTAATGAAAATTGCTATAAATTTTTCACTGTAATTGTACAACTACTCCCAATTGCATACCGAATGTCGCACTGATCGAATCACTAAGTCATGCGACAATGTACCTCTTGTAATTGTATTTGTTTGATCTTTTTCTATGAAAAAAAAAAGAAACTGAAAAAAATGATACATTGGAATAAAAAATAAAAAAAACTTTTAAAGCTGAATAGATGGAAGATGCCAGAGGACTCCATCACTATAACCACTGCAATTAGACGAAGCAGTTACAGTGTCCCTTTAATTTGTCAAAGCATCAATTGCTTAATTATTTTTATATTATAATTATTTTTAGTATGGCCGTGAATAACGTTCAGCATTTCAAGAAATGCCCTCCTAAGGTTGACAAACTAATAAGATTTTACCCTTAACTTGTGTCTAATGAACTGGACTCATCATTTGAACTGCACAGAAACCTTTACAGACTGATCCTTTTGCGCTGTTTGTCAGCTTTCTAAAGTGATTTATGTGTGAAGACATTTCCAAGGGGAGGCACCCTAAGGCGATATTATTCAGAAACAGCTTGTGAGTGCATCCGTACTTGCGCATTGTAGCATTATATAATACTGTGTTGCACTATTTTATGATTTTTTCTTTTTACAGATGTATCCCCAATATTTTGTGTACTGTGGCTACTTTGTAAGAGGGTATTCTGTCCCTTTTAAGGCCAAAATTATCTGTCTCCGCTATAGTCACTTCTTTTTAGTTTTAGTTTTATCATTAAAGGACCACTCTAGGCACTCAGACCACTTCAGCTTAATGAAGTGGTCTGGGTGCCAGGTCCAGCTAGGGTTAACCCATTTTTTCATAAACATAGCAGTTTCAGAGAAACTGCTATGTTTATTAATGGGTTAAGCCTTCCCCCAAAGCCTCTAGTGGCTGTCTCATTGACAGCCGCTAGAGGCGCTTGTATGCTTCTCACTGTGATTTTCACAGTGAGAGCACGCAAGCGTCCATAGGAAAGCATTATGAATGCTTTCCTATGTGACCAGCTGAATGCGCGCGCAGCTCTTGCCGCGCGTGCGCATTCAGCCCAGGAGGAGGAACGGAGGAGGATCGGAGGAGGAGAGCTCCCCGCCCAGCGCTGGAAAAAGGTAAGTTTTAACCCCTTTTCCCCTTTCCAGAGCCGGGCAGGAGGGGGACCCTGAGGGTGGGGGCACCCTCAGGGCCCTATAGTGCCAGGAAAACGAGTATGTTTTCCTGGGACTATAGTGGTCCTTTAAGATTTTAATTTGCTTGAATTTGGATTTTAGTGAATAATGTATGTGATCATATCTGGAAGACTTTTGGTATTTCTGTTGACAGAACAACGGCAAAAGAAATCACCAAACTCCTGATGACGACTTTTTAACGGACCCCTTAAGCTCTGGTTACTGATTATATAGACAGTTAGTACATGTAATCTTACTTGTGTTTGCATTTACGTCCATGCGAACGTTTTTGCTCCAAAACTGTTCAAGAGGTTTCCCATTATAAAGCATTTCTTGGGCATTAACAGATATTGAAAACGTCTTGTCTTCACTGCTCTTGTTACACACTTGATAAATAAGTAAGATGGTTTGCCCAATCAGTGGAGATTCGGCTAGCTTCAACGAGACATCAAAGTCCACAGCCACAGCTAAATCTCTTTCGTCTTTAAATGACGTATCTGACTTCATTTTACGTACAGCTTTTTCAAATGTGTTTCTTTCTTGTGAAGAGCCTGTAAATAAAATATTGTTTGTTATAGTATGTGAAAATTATTGTCCCCAACAACATAGTGTCAGTCGTTGTTAATGCACTACACAAGATCCAGTGCACTCACTTACTAAAAACCAACTTCAAAGCTCAAAAACAAGTTTTGTTTTTTAATGACCCTTGTACACACCTCACTATGATGTATGTTTTTATATTACGTAATAGTTTAAGGCTAAGGGTTAGTGTGTTAGGGTTGGTCTGAGTATCAGGGTTAATGTTACTGTAAGAGTAAGGGTTAGTGTTAGAGTACGGGCTATGGTTTTTATGTTACACGGGTCTGCCTGAAAAAATGGTAGAAGTAACTATTTGCAGCTGCCACCATCAATTCAGCCCAGGAAAGAGCCATGTTCAACTGCTGAATCCCGTAGTGTACTTACTACTATTCTTGGGAATGTCACCCCTGCCATTAGAGTCCTCAAGGTACACAACTAATTATTTGAGGGAATTCAGAATGACTCTAAATAATGACTTAAGAACTAAGGAAATATAACAAGGAAAATTAATTCCAATATTAAATTAACAAAAGCCCCACGTTAAATTCAGGTAAAGATACACTATAAAACAGTTGCAAATGGGCTAGTAATAAGGTAATGGAACAAGGTTAAATTTCAGATTCTATTTTTTGATAATAGTATGTTGGGCTTCAATCGGTACATAATAGTCCTAATAGAAGATGAGACAACATAAGTTCAATAGGCTAAGTACAATAAAAAGCACACTATATTACATAGTTACAGAGCTGAAAAGAGACATGCGGCCATCAAGTTCAGCCTTTCTCACATCTGTCTTTGCTGTTGATCCAAAAGAAAGCAATATGATAGTATGAGTTATGATATTTAGACAACTATTAATTGTTTGATAAGTAAAATGTTTCTTATGATTTTGGAACTAGAGTTAAAACTTCTAAACAAAATTTTTTATAACAAAACAAACATAAAGTATTTTGTGTGTTGGAATTTTACTAAAATTCCTAGTCAGTCAAAAGATATAGTGGGACAAAGTAGCTACCCTTTGTCAAGCCCTTGGCCATCACTAGCAAAGTTATACATAAGGATAGTAGGAACTAATTTTTGTTATGTTTAACCAGCAGGTTGACAAAAGTTAATAAACTTTGCCATTGAACATCAACTTAAGACTCACCTCATTCCAGCGTTGCCTTACTTCCGACAGCGACGCATACCAGATCATCAGTTTTGACTCTACCATGATCAAAACTTTAAGAGCAGATGGGTTACAGCAATACCTGAATTTTGGCCAAGGTTGGTAATGATGTAGCACTGGCTTGTTTAACAGATTTTGCCTTTCGTTACTGAATCTGTGTTGATGGGGCTACTTTGTTCTCTGGCTGTGTTTAAACTTGGCTATTATTTGCAGCAGTCAAATATACAATAGGGTAATTATGACAACACTGGTGTTTGGGTACCTTCTGGATACTTATATTGATGCGTTATGTCTTCTCTGGTGTTACACCCAACACTTTTTGTGCTAATGTATTTGCCGATGGAAAGAGTGTCTATTTTCCCTCTTTTCATAACATCTTCTCCGATAATCCAGTGAACAATGTCACCATTGACCTCAGCAAAAACAAAAGGAACATCGTAACCAACATCTACATTTCCTTCTTTTATTGCTTTCACTGGAGCTGGCCCACAGCAATGGGTACCTAAAACAGAAAAAGATCTTTTCAGATGTGAAGTGGTCCCACGATTCATTAAAAAGGAAAAAAAGTACTTAAAGTGACACTGCCACATTGGAGAGTTTATAACCCTTTGGCAGTGTAAAATGGTTTATAAGGATATACTATTTCTGAAAAAATGTCTACATAGTGTGCTAGAATTTCATATATAAAAACATATACAAGACAACATTGTTATTACTTTGTCTTATGGACATATATCAAAGAGCAAAGAAAGAAAGGATTTTATTGAACTTCTGTCTCAGTTGCTATGCAATTTCCTATAATTTGCAATGGCTGATGGGAAAATGCATTTTCTGGTCTTATGCACAATAGATGCCTATGGAATTACCCTGCGGATATGGAGAAAGACCTGTTAATGATCCTGCAGTCTCACAAGATATTTCATACACCAGGCATAGACAACATTTGGCATTCCAGATGTTTTGGACTACACCTCCCATGATGCTTTGCCCGCATTATGGGTGTAAGAGCATTAGTCCACAACATCTGGAGTGCCAAAGGTTGCCTATAACTGTCATAAACCCTCATTTTATAATCTCTCACATGCATGAGAATGCAAATATTATGTAGTTCCTGGGGGCTTAATCTGGTAGCATTATCTTTGGAATAAGCTATACGTATCTTCCCCATCTCCTTCTTTCCACAGAATCCATTATGTGGAGGGGAGGACACCAGGATAAAAATGTAAGGACTCCACAAATGACAAATGTCAATGCTTCTTTCAGTTATAACATTGCTACTTTATTACTTACTAAACTTTGGGCATCACCAGGCATGGGCAATTGCCTGCATCCATAATTGTGAGAATACATACTGAATACACTGGTCAGCTACACTATTGAAACCAACTGCCTCATATCATGTAGGCCCACCTTGTGCTGCCAAAACAGCTCCAATGCGTCAAGGCATGAATTCCACAAGACATCTGCATATGTCCAGTGGTATCTGGCACCAAAACAGCAGCAGATCCTTTAAGTCCAGCAAGTGGCGAGGTGGGGCTTCCATTGGTTGTTTTTTGTTGTTCCAGCACATCCCACAGATGCTCAATCAGATTGAGATCTGGGGAATTTAGAGTCCAAGGCATTTCAAACTCTTTGTCATATTCCTCAAACCTTTCATTAACAATGTTTACAGTTTGGCAGGGTGCATTATCCTGCTGAAAGGGGCCAGTTCTGATGCTCTTCAGCAGAGGACAAGTGTCGTCGTGGGCACTCATACTGTCCCATATGCAGCAAACTGTGATGCACTGTGTGTTTTGACGTCTTTCTGTAATGGCCAGCATTAAATTTTTCAGCTATTTCAGCTACAGTAGCTCTTCTGTGTGATCAGACCAGAAAGACTAGCCTTCCCCACATGCATCAATGAGCCTTGGGCATACATGACCATAATGCCAGTTCACTGGTTGTCCTGCCTTTTGGTAGGCACCAACCACTGTATACAGGTCACACCACACAAGACTTGCTGTTTTAGAGCTGACCCAATTATCTAGCCATCACTATTTGGCCCTTGTCAGAGTAACATAATTTTTCACTTGCCAACTTTTCACATGAACACATGAAATTCAAGAATTTGATGTTTTCTTGCTGCTTAACATATTACACTCCTTGACAGGTTCCATTGTAGAGATATAATGAATGTTATTCACTTCACCTGCCAGTGGTTTTAATGTTGTGGCTGATCAGTGTAGTGTATGAATACCAAGTTTCCATAAAATGTTAGAACAGAGTCTTTTATAAGATACGAAGCTTTCTGAAAAAGTGCAATCTTCATCATTTTAAACCTACCATCACTGATCTCTTGTGGTGTGGCATCCACAACTTGCCATCCATCATATCCTGGATGAAGATCTCTTCTAGCCATCCAGCATTCGTTCCAAACATGAAAATTCCTGGGGGGAAAAAAAACAGGAAAAATTCCTACTTAAATTTAATTTCAGAAGTTGCCTCAAAGTCATATATTTTTGGGTGTGATCATTTTGTGGTGTTAAAATTTAGTCATGCACTAATTTGCATTTGCATAATTTGAAATTTTTGGATTCAGACAAGTAGAAGAGTGTTGCATGCCGGTGTCAGTAGCACCGGAGCTCAGTGGTAGAGGTTACCTAACCTCCAAATATATCCACAAGACAAGGCTGGGTAAGACCGCAAGACCTTAATCAAATATTAATAATGATTAAGACCTCATGACCGTAACGTTGTATCCTTGTTTTGTCCTGTATTTCACAATAAAACTTCTGGTTCACCCTATGCTGTGCAGCCGGTGACTTTTCACTTGTGAAACTTTTGGATTGATCTTTTTGTAGATTTAATTAATTTTATTTATTTTTTATCTGTTTTTATCACTTCTCTTTGAAAGCACGGGATATATTATCTCTCATCACAAGGGATGTGTTTTATTCTATTTTCTATTCAAACTTTAGAGAAGTCAATTTGGTATACTTAGTATGAATTTGCAATGTGATGTCTTTATTTTTCAGATGTACAGCAAAATCTTCTGTTTGGATTTATTTTGAATTGTGTAGATATATCGTTAATCAAACAGAGAACTGTTTTATTGGCTGTCTGTCAATAAAATGTGTGTTGGTTTAATGGTATGTGTACCAATAAGTGCAAGTATTGTTTTGTGAGAGTGTGCGTTTTTAAAAGGATGAGGTAGAAAGAGGTGAAGCTCTACGAGGAAAAAATTGAGTCTAAAGGAGAAGGGCTGTAGTTTATAGAGAAAGGGGTGAGTCTTAAACAGGAAGAAGTGCCACCTTGACAAAAAGGGGTGAGGCAAATTTAGATTAGGGCTTCTCGAGTTTATTTATGTCTACGGAAGCACAAAACCAAAATACACCACTGCCCTTAACCCCTTAAGGACCAAACTTCTGGAATAAAAGGGAAACTTGTCACACAAGTCATGTGTCCTTAAGGGGTTAAAGGGACTCTGCAGGCAAACAAGTTTACTCACCTGGTTCCAGCTCCGGGAGCCTCGTGAAGCCACGCCCCATTTCATCAAAATGACGAAATAGGCGGGCGGGAGCAATCAGACGCTTCCATTTGGAAGCGTCATTACTCCCTTGTGCGCATGCGCGGCTTCGACGCACATGCGCACATATTTCAGAAGGCGGGACTCATGCCACCCTCTGAAGTCCTGAGCACACTACCGCGCATGTGCGCGGCCACGAGCTGAGCTGACTGACAGCTCAGCTCGCGGTCTTTGCCCGTCCCCTCTCCTCTGCTGACGGGCAGAAGAGAGAAGGCGCGCACACAGTGCCTTCTCTCTCCTGCACACGTCAGACGCATTTTAATACGTCTGACGTGTACAAGGCCTTTTTAGGGCCCTGCATGATAGGAAGTCCCTCTGGTGCCCATCTGAGTGACGGCCACTGGAGGTATTTCTATCAATCAATGTAAACACTGTATTTTCTCTGAAAATACAGTGTTTACATTAGATTGCCCGCAGAGAGCTATAGATCATACCTGAACAACTACATTAAGCTGTAGTTGTTCCGGTGACTATAGTGTCCCTTTAACTTTAAAAATTATATAATTGTACTATCATTCATCATGCCTCAATTACATACCCATGATCAATACATAAAATCTACAGCTTATGGTGGACTTCAGTACATTCCACTTATGGGCATCCTCAGCAATATCACCTTTAATTTATTAATGTATTTAATTTCTTATTATGCAATCTAATTAAAAAAAAGTCCTGATATTTTACATCTTTCTCACCAGATACTGTCTTTTTGAAGAGAGTCTAGTTGTTTTCCAGTTTCGTCATAGTACTCATCGTAGGTTAAACTGTAGTTTGAATCATGAGCTGATTCAAAGTTTGTTACTGCACGAGTTGGGATTCCTAGAAGTCGCATAACTGGGAAGAAAAACAAAAATAAATTCTACGTTTTACATGTGTAATAACGTGCTGTATTTTTTCTTGTTAAACGTGAAGTTTTATATAGTGAATCTTATTATTGATGATTGCAATAGTGATCATTTTGTAAATTATTTTATATTACCTGTACATGTGACACCAGCCAAGACCCAGCACTGGCCATATCTAACAGGTCTGCAATTACTTCTAAACCACTGTCGTAATATGCTGACACTCCCGTTCCATGCACTTGGGTGTGTTCCATTTGGGAAGAACTCTTCCCAGCTTGATTCTATCACCCCACAATCATCATTAGAGTTAATCTGTAAAACATGCAGTCATAGAACAACATTAAAGAAGTCCAGGAAATGGAATTCAACCCAAGTGTTTTATATATCACTGGCTCACCATGGCAGAGATGACTCTGCTGATATACACGGGGTCTCCTCTTTTAGAACAATCTTTTGCTGGATCCTTAAGAAAACTGGGGCTCATGTCTAGAATCTTTAGGCAGATATCAGCAACTCCATCTTCGAACTAAAAATAAGTAGATAATTTATAAAAAGATAAATAGGCTTAAACATTTCAAAGGAAAACTCTAACATTAGGAATACAAAAATGTAGGGGCAACTTAGATTAAGCCCCCAAATAGTTAAATAAAGCGCAAAGGTCATCTCTATCTCGGCCCTTGCTTAGCTCACTGGAGAAATCTGGTTTCCCCTACTGCAGAAACTGGACGTGGTGTAGGCACATGGGGAAACCAAGTAAGTTATCAAACCATTCGTAAACTTACTGTGGGTGAGTAAATGTCTTTCTTAGTCTTAGAGAGCTCCAGGGTAATCCTGGCACTCCTGGTTGGAGTGATCCTTTAAAAACACAAGTATCTCTTAATATGATTAATAATAATATATATATATATATATATATATATATATATAAAATTTTAAAACATATTTATAATTCCCTAAAGGAGTTTTAATTATTACTTTAGCTTAATAATGTTTAACGAACAGAGCCAATCTAATTGCGCAGATTTTTTCTTACCTCCAAATTAGTATCGACAATGGACAACTAAAGGTGAATAACGTATGTAACTATTGGTGTGTTGAACTCTGTTGCAAAGTGTCATTATATTTTTTTTAAATATTTTTATTTTATTTTTACAATGTACTTATTTAACATCAAACTTGGAACATATTAACTCTAGAACTCACATATTATTTTACCTCTTAAAGAGGCACTGTCACCTACTGAGATCTTTGCATATCTTGTATTCCGATGGCAATTGGGTGCAGTGGAAGGTAGTTCTTACTTATCTGAATGGGTCCCTTGCAGGCATGCCCATCTTCTTCCTTGAGGTCCTCTACAGCTCCTGGGTCTTCATCGCCAGCAGCCGACATCAGTGCTGTACTCACGCACATGCGTGAGTGTACAGCACTGATGTCTGATGTCTGTGGAGAACCTGCAAAACTGACTTTTTTTTGGGAAGTGGGGTGACAGAGCTACTTGACCAGCTGCAGCATGTGTGCAACATTGTTTTTTTTTTTTGTATGTTATTTAAACCACAGATTTTGAGCTTGCATAGATAATCACTGACATCTATCCTGCCAAGAGGATTAGTAGAACATAACTGCCTAAGGGAAGATTAAAAAAATAATAATTAAAAAATTGCCTTCACAAAATGTATGCAGGAAGTACAAGGTGTAACATGATACAAAAAAAAAATCTGACTGAGTGACATATCAACATGTTCTGTCTGTGTCTTCAAATGTGAGGCAAAATCCCAGTGTACCCTTTCATATGACAGAATACTAATATTGTTATAAAGTTGTTCTAATCAAACAATGACAACACGATTAAGATGATAAACCATAGGAACAGATAATAAATGATCAAATAGAAAAAGAAAGTACAGCAGTCATAAGTAGCTAGTCATAATTTCATGAAAGGAACACTCAACGCACCATAACCACTATAGATGTCTTTAGTGGTTATGGTTCCAGAAGTACCTAAGCACCTTACCATTTTCGAATGGTTTGACAGCTTACCAGGGCTTCCATACCACATCCAGTCTTTTTCTGCAGGAGAAGCTGAATATCTTCATTCAGCTTTTGTCCTCAGCCAGTTAGCACAGCCCTGCTTATCTTCGTGGAACTAATTGGATTCTTCTGAAGTAACAATGCAATGGGAAATTCCTAGTACTACATCAGTGAAGGTCTTCCCATTAGTGCCAGAGTTATTGGGCTCTCTTTAGTCTTGAAGAACCTTTTAGCTGGGATAAATTAACATTGGGGCTATTGGTGTTGAAGATGTAGGTTAACACATTCCAGTAGGCGCAAGTTGCCTGAATTTTTTATTTTGTTATTTAACAGAGTTCCGGCTACCTACATTACATGTTCCAAGGTTGCAAAAGTGCAAATATCTCTCCTAATGTGCTGCATTTCAACCACAAATGCTGGTCATGGTGGTTGGAGTAACCCTTTAAAATGAGTAGCATAATAGTGGAAGGGTATCTCTCTAAATCAGCTGTGATTATTGAGAATACACTTGCAATAATTTTGTATCAATTAAACAGAGTTTATATTTTTAGATCTTTACAGTAAAGTTCAACATACAATCTCTAATTTGACCCCAAAGATTAATTCCACAGAAAGAAAAGGTCTGGCACTGACTAATTTATTTGTGATCAAATATAAATTAATACCTGTCCGAAGTTCCAAGGTATACTTCTAATAAAATCTTTACTTCCTTGATATAAAAACCCATTTTCATTCAACACGTATTCTTTTCTCAGTGTCTCATCATCAAGAAAGACATCATCATCTGAAACATATAAAGTAAAGGAATAAATTATACATATGGAAAAGAGAGACAAGAAAATTAAATTCCATATTGCAACACAAAAATCAATCCAAAAGTTTCAAATTATGCAAATGTATATTAGCTTCTGATTAAAAATTTTAACATCCCAAATTATTACACCCCAAAAGAAAGCATATGACTTTGAGTCAGCTTCTGAAATTAAATTTAACTAGGAATTTTTCATGCTTTTTTTTTTTGCAGGAATTTTCACATTTAGAACGAGTGCTGGATGGCTTTGTCCAGGACAGTGGTAGTCAACCTGGTCTCTCCTGCCCACTAGTGGGCAATTCAATCTTTCATGGTGGGCGGTGGCAGATAATGACTGACCAGGTGGGTACAGGTGTGGTGGTTGTTGGAGGTGCCCTTGGTGCAGGCAAGGAGTTATGTCTTTGCTACATCTCAGGTCTCTGGCTTCTTTTGTACCCACCTGGGGAAGCTCCAGTGACGTAGATTGGCACACAGAAGCCCATGATGTCACAACGGAACCTCCTTACAATGGAGCAATATGAAGAAAGAAGGAAGCTGCCAGGCAACACAACCACATGCTCTGCGCAGACGCGCTTCTCCCTCCAGTCATCGAAAGAGACCTCACAAAAATGCCCAACACGCATTGCGTGAACGCCTCTGTTTGCTAAATCCCTCTCGATGGCTAAAAGGAAGTGCAGCTGCACTCTTGATCGGAATGGACAGGGCGTAATGATGTAACAGGAGGGGAGATAATGCAATCAATGTGAAAGCAGGGACCGTTAGAAGTGTTGCGTTTATAGTGACTGATATTGAACTTTGGCAAGCTAAGTTCTGTTATTTTATGTTTACCTGGTTCACTTAACATAAAATAAAAGAAAGAAGGAAAAAATAAGTATTGGAAGGAGAAATAAAATAAAATAAAGAGAAAGGAAAACGAGACCCCCTGATATATACATTTTCTTTTTTTCTGTTGAGTTTTTTTGGCTAATAATAAAGTGGGTTACCTAGTACAGCCTTTCTGCTGGTGATTGCAATAAGGAAGGAGAAAAGAAAAAAAGGAAAAGGAAGAAAGTAAGACATCAGGAAAATAGAAAAAGCATTTTTAAATTCATTAACTTTAATATATATGGATAAACATGCATGGAGTAGAAAAATACATTTGAGTACTTTAAAATCCTCCTTTAAAACAATAATGTTTGTACTAGAGCTAAAACAAAATCGAGTTAATGTGGCACCGATCGGTGGTAAGGAAATCAGTGGTGGTATGTTTAAAATGATGAAGATTGCACTTTTTCACATTAATAGCTTCATAGTTTAGAAACCACAATGTTCTATTATTTGATGTTAACATGGCATCATACACTACACTGATCAGCCACAACATTAAAACCACTGAAAGGTGAAGTGAATAACATTGATAGGATCATTTCAATGGCACCTGTCAAGGGGTGGGATATATTAGAAGGCAAGTGAACAGTTTTTAAATGTTGTGTGTTGGAAGCAGGAAAAATGGGCAAGTGAAAAGATCTAAGTGGCTTTGACAAGGGCCAAATAGTGATGGCTAGACTACTCAGAGCATCTCCACAAAGGCAAGTACTGTTGGCTGTTCCCAGTATGCAGTGGTTCATAGCTACCAAAAGTAATGCAAAGAAGGACAACTGGTGAAGCAGCGTAAGGGGCACAAGACTCATTAATGCACGTGGGGAACAAAGGCTATCTCATCTGGCCCGATAACTCAAGAGCTACTGTAGATTAAGATTTACGAAAAACATAATGCTAGCCATATTATTTATAAAATATTTTACCAGGAAAGATACATTGAGATTTCTCTCGTTTTCAAGTATGTCCTGGGTCCACAAATCATTGCATTGTTACATTAGGTACAACAAAATACAAAAACAATATTAATACACAATATATACAAAATTTTTAACATAGAACAGGCAGGAAATATATAATCAACCATGACACGTGCATTCTGTTTTGAGGTATGTAGAGAGGGATCTCTTAAATGACTTTAGGCTTAGGGAAGATTTTAAATTGTGCGGGAGGTCATTCCACAATTGCGGCGCTCTGTAGGAAAAGGAGGATCAGGCTGCTTTCTTTTTGTATTGAGGTAGACTAAGTAAAGTGCTTGTACTGGATCGTAGGTTATAGAAAGTGGGAACAGCTGGGGAAAGCATTTTGTTCAGGTAGGGTGGGAGTTTCCGAGAAAAGCTCTTAAAAACAAGGCTGGAAAGATGAAGGGTGCGTCTGGATTCCAGCGACAGCCAGTTTAGTTCCTTTAGCATGTCAGGATGATGGGTCCTGTAATTACATTGTAGCACAAATCGGCAGAACGAGTTATACAATGTGTTGAGTTTATTAATGTGGGATTGCGATGCAGACGCATATACTACATCCCCATAATCAATGATTGGCATCAGCATTTGCTGTACAATCTTTTCCTTTACTGTAGGGCTTAGACAGGCTTTGTTTCTGTACAGGGCACCTAATTTTGGATAAAGTTTAGATGCAAGCTTTTCTATGTGCAGGCCAAAAGATAGATTGGGGTCTAATATCATACCCAAGTATTTGAAAGAGTGGACTGCGGTCAGTGTGCCATTTGAATTTGTTTTGATGGATAGGTGGGGATTGTGTAATTTGTGTAATTTAGGTACTGTTCCAAAGATCATTGTGACAGTTTTGTCAGTGTTCAGGAAGAGTTTGTTTTTTGCGATCCACTTTTCTACCTCTGTAAACTGGTCTTGGAGCAAAGCCTCAAGTTGCGGTAGATTGGATTTGCTCGCATAGATTACCGTGTCATCTGCGTACGTGTGTACATTTGAGGATTGGCAGAAATTAGGCAGATCATTTATAAATAATGTAAATAGTAGGGGGCCAAGAATGGAACCCTGAGGAACACCACACGTGACTGGGAGAGGGAGGGAGTCACTGTCAGAAATGGACACATATTGCGAGCGATCCGATACATACGATCGAAACCAGTTTAAAGAATGATCACCAATACCTGAGTTTTCGAGTTTGTGCAGTAGAATGTCGTGGTCTACTGTGTCAAAGGCCTTAGCAAAATCAAGGAAAATAGCTCCAGTTAGGGCTCCTTGTTCCATGCCATAATTGAAAGGTGTCAGAACACACAATGTATTGCAGTTAGCTGTGTATTAGGATGCGTAGCCGCAGACCTGTCAGAGTGCCGGCTTTAGGCCATTAGGTACCCTGTACGAAATATTTTCGCTGCACCCCTGATCATACCTCATCATGTATAGTGTGTGTATAGGGGTGTAGTGTTTCTATAAGGGATTTATTAAATTAATTATTATTTCAAAACAAATATTATTCCCCCTTCCCTGTTGGTACCTTGCATGCTGATCTTTAGTGGTCCAGTGTGCTGGGAATCTGTCAAGCACACAAAGTTACAGGCAGACAGTCACACACAAACAGTAATAGGCACAGTCATACACATGCACACACTGTTAAAGGCAGAGAGATACACATACACAGTTGCAGACAGTCACACACACACATTGTTAGAGGCAGACAGTCACACACACATACACACAGTTAGACAGTCACACACCCGTTACAGGCAGACAGCCACACACATACACACAGTTAGATAGTCATACACAGACTGTTACAGGCAGACAGTCACACACACATACACACAGCTAGACAGTGACACACACATACCGTTGCAGGCAGACAGTCACACACACATACACACTGTTACAGGCAGACAGATAAACATACCCAGTTGCAGGCAGTCACCCACACAAACCATTAGAGGCAGACGGTCACATACACACAGTTACCAACAGTCACACACAGATCATTACAGGCAGACAGTTACACACACACATAGTTAGACAGTCACACACATACACCGTTACAGACAGACAGTCTCACACACATACACACAGTTAGATAGTCACACACACACAGTTAAAGGCAGACATACACACAGTTACAGGCACAAAGATACACACACACAGCTGCAGGCAGTGACACACAACAGTTAAAGACAGACACACACAGTTACATCCAGTCACTAACACTTACAGGCAATTACACACACAGTTACATGCACTCATACACACACACACACACACACACACAAACAGTTACAGACTGTCCCACACACACACACAGACACAAACACAGATAGTGACACTCACACACTTACAGACAGTCTTACAGACAGTGTAACATTGCTACAGACAGTCACACACACACACAGTTACAGGCAGTCACATACATTTACATACACACAGTTACAGGCAGTTACACACACAGTTACACACACACATAGTTACATACAGTCACACACACATCTACAAACAGTCACACACACATACACCTCTTGCCATTATGGACTGGAGTGAGGAGAGAAGGCACTGCAGTTCCTGTTACCTGGCAGTTGGAGACGCAGGGGCTTCTTTTTGCTTCATACTTAGTGTGCAGAGGTTAAGGGCAGGGGTGCTTTTAGCTGCGCCTCCATACCTCATTAAACTCCACACATGCCATGCATGAAGCTCCAGCCCCGCAGCCTTTTTAGGTTTTTTTATAGTCCCGGGTGGAGAATAATGACGTTTTCCACCCAGGTGTGCAGATCTGCAGTGTAGGGTTACCCTCTACATGCCCTCACTCCTTTCACCTGGGGCATGTGTGAACTATGTCGGCACCATGGCACCCCCTGCACACATGGCACCCTGTGCTGTCGCACAGCTCACACACCCCTAAGGCCAGCCCTGCCTGCCATGGGAGCTGGACCATGGAGCAAAGTTTGCTTGGTCTAATGAATCATGTTTTCTTTTAGATAAGGTGGGTGGCTGGGTGTGTGCATTGTTTACCTGGGAAAGGGATGGTAGCAGGATGCACTATGGGAAGAAGGCAAGCCAGTGGAGGCAGTGGTATGATCTGGACATTGTTTTGCTAAAAAACCATGGGTTCTTGCATTCATGTTTATGTTACTTTGACACGTAACACCTACCTAGAAATTGTTGCAGACCTTCATGACAACATTATCTCCTAGCAGTGGCCTATTTCAGCAGAATAATGCACCCTGCCACACTGCAGAAAGGGTTCAGGAATGGTTCAAAGAACATGACAAAGAGTTTAAGTTGTTGTCTTGCCCTCAAAATTAGATTTACTGTGGGGGATTTAATGTGGGGGAGGGGAAAATGCACACACTCTGCATTCACTACACTGACACACACTCTGTATTCACTACACTGACACACACTGTGCATTCACTACACTGACACACACTCTGCATTCATTACACTGACACACACTCTGCATTCATTACACTGACACACTCTGCATTCACTACACTGACACACACTCTGCATTCACTACACTGACACACACTCTGCATTAACTATACACACAGCATCCACTACACAAACATCCTGTATTCACAGTACACACACTACATCCACCACACATTCAAACACTCTGCATTCACTATACAGAGACACTGCGTCTAATACACGCACTATATCACTACAGACACTGCATCCACTAAATACATTGCATCTAGTACACACAAAAACTACATCCACTGCACAAACACACACTACATCACTGTACACACACTACATCCACTACTCAAACACACTCTGTGTCCACTATACACACTGCATCCGCTACACAAACACACACTCTGTATTCACTGCACTGCAAATGTCTGGTGCTATGAGACCCTTAAATATAATATAGCTCATAATTAATGGAGGCATGTACTAACAATGCTTATAATTTTCATAATTTAATATTTAACCAAAGTGTGATAAAATGTAACTTAAGCACAATGGCTGATGTGGATATTTTCAGTGCATAATTTCCTTTGCTATTTGTCTCTAGATATATCTCTAGATTTACTGCTAATATATAGATATGAGACTATATTATCATCCCTTTCTTCTAATTTACTATTTATGAAGACTCCTGCATTCATCATATGTGCCTTTACCTGACAAAATGATGTTGACAGCGATTTGATGTTCTCCCTTTTCCTTTATTACATTTTATGTAATAAAAATGTTTTGTCAACATTTCATTATTGATTGTTCTGTTTATGCAATAATGTTTGTGAGCTGTGATCTTGGACATCAGGGACAAAACTTTATTTACCCAAAGGCTTGATTACCTACTACAACCAAAATCAGTAGCTAATATAGTTTAAACTCTAAAGCTCTTTACCTGGGCACCACGCATTGAATAGAAGAATTACGGTACCCAAATTGTAGGACTGAACCACTCCTTGGTAAGTGCCTTCCAGAAACAAACTGTAGCGTCCAATGCAGGCTGTTGCTGGAGAACATATGGTGATTGATAAAGATACATCATTTGCACTTTCCAGCTTAGCACTCCATGATTTGCTATCTTTGAGTTCACACACTGGAAAATAAGCTTGTGTCCCATTTTGACTTGATGGATTTGGACCTGTAAAAGATGAACATGGATCTGTAAGACACAGCCAACACAGAAAAAAAAAAAAAAAACAACTATTGCACCTTTGTACTTAGTGAGAGGTTAGAATGGGGTGTTTAGTCTTGGTGTAATACTTTTAGAAAAACTTCATTTGGAACTCAACTGCAAGTGAAAGAATATATTTTATACTGTCACTTTAAGAAAGTTTGATCTATTGAATTTAGGAATTTTCCCTTTAACAATCTTCTGCAGCAATATACATGGAAAATAATAAGCAATGGTAAATCTTGTTTAGGATTGCTTCACAGAAAATAGAGTTCAGCAGAAATAAATAAACAAGTTAACTCCTAATTAAGAATAGATAGTATAGTCCAGAGGTAGGCAACCTTTGGCAATCCAGATGTTGTGGACTACATCCCCCATAATGCTCTTACACCCATAATGCTCTTACACCCATAATACTGGCAAAGCATCATGATAGTCCATTAGACCTCGAAGAATGAATAAGAAAACACTCAATTACTGTTTTAGGAATATTACACAGTCCTTTAGATTTTAATAACAAATGTTGAAAATAAGTAGATCCTGATTTGGTAAAAATATCACAGTTTTTTAGACTCTGGTAATAATATATGAAAATATCTTAGGCAAGATCAATCAGATGAAGTGGTTACTTTCAATAGAGCAATTTGGAAGTAACTGGATCTCAGAGGGCAGACATATGAATTCCCTTTTATCCTTCCAAATAACTTAAGGCATGAACCAATTATTAATACCCATAACTGAAGAACTTAGCTTGCTTTCCCTGGATATTGAGAATGGAAGTCCTTTCCAGAATAGTGTGGATTATGGTTCCCTGTAATATATTGAGGATTAGAGGAAATCGTAGTGAAGTCTGTTCCAAGTCTGGGAGAGGAGAAGTCAGCGTAGTCAAGATCAGGTAAGAGGTTCGGTACACAGATGATTATAAGAAGGAGCTCCATCGGTAATTGGCAACAGTTAGGTAATGAATTGATTGAGCAATGTGATAGTGGCCATAGCTTCCTTTTACTATGGAAGTGTGTGATGTCAGACGCATGGGCAGAGTTGGATCAGCAAGAACCAGGAAGTCATACAGGTAAACAACGATCTTACAGAAAATAATAGGGGGAATCTTGGCACTTGGTCAAAACATGCAAGGATTTCTGGGAGACTTAGTCCTACAAAAGTTTGAGATTCAGGATGTCAAACTGCTTATGGTAGTGTTAACATCTCAAAGAACATTGAATTGCTCATGATAGTTTCTAGGTTATTGCAAGAAATATGATAAAGTACCCTTGAATACAATGTTTTAAAGATAGATAATAGTGTACTGGAACACTGTAATTCTTAATTATTATAGAACGAATAAAACTGCCATTATAACCCATTATTATATCTGGTTTATCTTAATAAAAAATCACAAGTAAAAGTAAAGTATTTTTAAATGTGTGCATTGGTATAACTGTTTTACCTGTTTCTGCTGTAATGCTCAACTTGTCCAACTTCTCCTCTTTTTTTCGATAGCGAATTAGTACCTTGATGGTAAATGGTTTTCCTCTGCGAACTACGAGTTCCTTCCCCCGGATGGATTGAGTTTTGTGTTCCTCACCATTGGAGAACCTGTTAAAATCGGTCCGGTAAAGTTCTGGAGCTTCAAAAGGATGTACATAAATTTGAGTAAGAAAACATATCTGTAAGATAGCGTTTAATATATACTAAACAATAAAATAACCACTAAATTGGATAAGATCGGTACTTGAAATATAGCTATTCAGATAGTATTGGTCGTTGTTTATTCATTTATTTTGTATTTATATCTGACTTCCTTATCCTAGCTTGTTTACAATGATTACTAATTAGTTATGATAACTAACATTCAACAATGTCAGGTTGGTGTAAATCAGGCCCAAATTTGGTCTGGATTTCACCTGGACAAATCAAGTGAGATTTCACTCGAGAGTTGGCTGTCAGAGTGCTCTGATTGGTTGGTGTACTCTTTGACACAACTGTCATAGCACAGGAAAAACCTATATAAGGCCTTACTATTTATCAGAGTTAATTCTGCGGCGAGCCCTCCCTGGGTGAAGATGAATTGCTTTTTATTGCTGCACAATTTAGATTTATGGCAGAATATTTTTTTTTTTTGCGATCAGGCCTCTGAGTGAGGGGGGGGGTAGAAAGGGACTTTAATTTAATTTAGGTGATGGCTAGGGTATTAGGGATCCCTAGCCACCAAGGGGGTATATGCTATTATTTTGGGAGACATGCCATGGTATACTACCTTATTGTATAATTTAATGAGGCCACCACCCATCTCCCATAGATGGGGACTGAAGATGGACACTAGGTCCCTCCTTTAGTATTATTATTAGGACCCAATCTGCTTTGCATGAGGATGTCCAGCGTCTTGAAACCCCCCCAGACCTCCCGCACCCACCAGGAAAGCATTGATTCAATGCTTCCCTATGGGGAAGGCATGCTCATTAGATTTCTGGATCCCCATGATGACAGCAGAGGAGGAGGAGTACTATCCAGCACCGAGGGACCTTGGCTCTGAAAACAGGTAAGGAAAAAAAGGGATTTCTTGACTGGGGGGAAAGACCGGGGGAGAAAGGGCATGGGAGCAGAGGGACAATATAGCATTCCTTTAAGCCAAAATACATCCACAAGACAAATTATTTAATCTAAACTAATTGCTTTTAAATTGTACAGTAACTGTTTTGTGTGGAACTTTAAAAGTGTCAGAATTCTTCCAATTCAGTTGTTTTGGCATACAATTTTAAGTTCACTTTTAATCAGAATTCCTAAGAAATCACACTTTAGTAAATAACAGTAAAAGAGTGACTAGTTTGTTGCACATTTTTGCTATTCTTGCATTCTAGTAATTCAGGCTTATTTTGGGGGGAATTCCTTCGGCAGCAATATTTGCTTTTTTGAGGGTCCCGATTTATTTTTAGAAACATAGAAACATAGAATGTGACGGCAGATAAGAACCATTCGGCCCATCTAGTCTGCCCAATTTTCTAAATACTTTCATTAGTCCCTGGCCTTATCTTATAGTTAGGATAGCCTTATGCCTATCCCACGCATGCTTAAACTCCTTTACTGTGTTAACCTCTACCACTTCAGCTGGAAGGCTATTCCATGCATCCACTACCCTCTCAGTAAAGTAATACTTCCTGATATTATTTTTAAACCTTTGTCCCTCTAATTTAAGACTATGTCCTCTTGTTGTGGTAGTTTTTCTTCTTTTAAATATAGTCTCCTCCTTTACTGTGTTGATTCCCTTTATATATTTAAATGTTTCTATCATATCCCCCCTGTCTCGTCTTTCCTCCAAGCTATACATGTTAAGATCCTTTAACCTTTCCTGGTAAGTTTTATCCCGCAATCCATGAACCAGTTTAGTAGCCCTTCTCTGAACCCTCTCTAAGGGTTTTCATTGTCTCTTTAACGTCATGTCTTAAACTGTAAATAGTTTGCGGTTCACTAAAGCACTTTAGCTTCAAATAGATTTAAGTTTAAACACATTGAGCAATGGTTTAGGTTTATATGCATTTTTGTATGTATGTTTGTATTTATATAATACTTATCTCTAGGTATTATCTCTCTAGAAAAAGACTTGCCCATAAGAAGCACGTTGATATAACTATATAAAAATTATATTAAACTATGATTCACGGAAAAGCAGAAACGGTCAGTCAACATGAGAAGAAAGGACGTTTAGAAATACTGTACATATTGTAGCACCTACAATACTCATGCTTGTTGTGTTCCACCATGTGACGGACTGCCTGCCGCCCCGACTGGGTGCCTCCGCCAATCGCTGCTTCCTAGGAGCCTTGAGTACTATAAGCACCGCACCGAACACCATAAGCACTGCAGCCCCTAAGCCGCCGCAGCTTAGCTGGGTATCGCTGTCACCCTGGACCTAAGACAAGGATCCAGCTTGCTGGGAAACATGGCAAGATGGCGACCAAATCCCAGTAGGACTCCAATAATTAACTAATCACGGAGAGGGAGGTGGCTTTGGACTTAATAGAAACATAGAAACATAGAATGTGACGGCAGATAAGAACCATTCGGCCCATCTAGTCTGCCCAATTTTCTAAATACTTTCATTAGTCCCTAGCCTTATCTTATAGTTAGGATAGCCTTATGCCTATCCCACACATGCTTAAACTCCTTTACTGTGTTAACCTCTACCACTTCAGCTGGAGGCTATTCCATGCATCCACTACCCTCTCAGTAAAGTAATACTTCCTGATATTATTTTTAAACCTTTGTCCCTCTAATTTAAGACTATGTCCTCTTGTTGTGGTAGTTTTTCTTCTTTTAAATATAGTCTCCTCCTTTACTGTGTTGATTCCCTTTATATATTTAAATGTTTCTATCATATCCCCCCTGTCTCGTCTTTCCTCCAAGCTATACATGTTAAGATCCTTTAACCTTTCCTGGTAAGTTTTATCCCGCAATCCATGAACCAGTTTAGTAGCCCTTCTCTGAACCCTCTCTAAGGTATCAATATCCTTCTGAAGATACGGTCTCCAGTACTGTGTACAATACTCCAAGTGAGGTCTCACCAGTGTTCTGTACAATGGCATGAGCACTTCCCTCTTTCTACTGCTAATACCTCTCCCTATACAACCAAGCATTCTGCTAGCATTTCCTGCTGCTCTATTACATTGTCTGCCTACCTTTAAGTCATCAGAAATAATCACCCCTAAATCCCTTTCCTCAGATGTTGAGGTTAGGACTCTATCAAATATTCTGTACTCTGCCCTTGGGTTTTACGTCCAAGATGCATTATCTTGCACTTATCCACATTAAATGTCAGTTGCCACAATTCTGACCATTTTTCTAGTTTACCTAAATCATTTGTCATTTGGCTTATTCCTCCTGGAACATCAACCCTGTTACATATCTTAGTATCATCAGCAAAAAGACATACCTTACCATGAAGACCTTCTGCAATATCACTAATAAAAATATTAAAGAGAATGGGTCCAAGTACAGATCCCTGAGGTACCCCACTGGTGACAAGTCCAAGCTTCGAATATATTCCATTAACTACAACCCTCTGTTGCCTGTCTTTCTCTGTCTTTCTCGTGTATATAAGGGTACACTTGATAAAGGCAACCAGTTGGTACCAAAACATTTGGGGGAGTTGGTGACTTGTGTTTCTGCCTTGGGGCATGAAAGATTTTTGGTATAGTACTTGTGCATTACTGTTGGCCTATATTTCTGTTAATTTGTCTATTATTGTTTTCTGTCTGAAATTGTGATTTGTCTATTGATTAAAGTCTTATTGTACTTAACAGTGGAAGTTGTTATAGTGTGCATGCTATATTATATATGGACGTTATTTTTACTAACCTCAACTTCGTTATTCACCCCAGTAAATGATGCAATAGCATTTACTTGGTTAAATGAACAACAAACGTTCACCTCTCTGAAAATCACAGTTCCCTTTTAACCCACTAACACTGTTAGGGAAATATTAGGGCTTTAATGCCATTAGGCTGGCTCAGTACACCCTACTGATTGGTAGCCTCCCCCGGCCTGGATATGTACTTTCCGATGTAGCTGCCTGACGACTGCGCAATCTCATGACTGGATTGGCAGCTAAAATCAGTGGGACTACCTGGGTTGTCAGGCGGATCTCCCAACATTGAAATAAAGAAAAAATAAATCTTATATTAAATATAAAAGGATATATAAATATGTACTATGTATATCATTTTATTCTTAGTGTATTTTGATATTAATGAATATTAATATCAAAATACATAATAAAATATATATATATATTATCAAAATACACTCAAAATGAAATTATATATATATATATATATGTATATATACATACACTGAACAAAATTAGAGTGACCTTTTATTGTGGCCAGTCTAAGGCACACCTGTGCAATAATCATGCTGTCTAATCAGCATATTGATATGCCACACCTGTGAGGTGTATGGATTATCCCAGCAAAGGAGAAGTGCCCACTAAGACAGTTTTAGACAGATTTGTGAACAATATTTGAGAGAAATAAGCCTTTTGTGTACATAGAAAAAGTTTCAGATCTTTGAGTTCAGCTCATGAAAAATGCAGGCAAAAAAAAGTGTTGTGTTTTTAATTTTATTCAGTGTATTTAAATAGTGTGTGTGTAAATATATATATATATATATATATATATATATATATATTACTTTAATATAACTATGTGTTTTTTTTAATTAATTATATATTGAGGGACCCGTCTGACAACCCTGGCAGACAGTCCAGAGAATTTAATCCTGCATAACTTTCCAAACCCCATAAATCCTATACATGGGATTTTGTTCCTGTAAAAATATGAGTGTATTAAAACTGTAAAATGTATAATGATGATGATATCATCAGTCAAAGTGCAGTTTTTGTGTGAAAAATGCAAAAAAAAAAAATATGAACAATACCTTAGACCAGTGTTTGTGACTAAGGGGCTATTAAAAAAGACTGGACATATCCCTGATTTGTCTAAAGCCACCATGGACTGAAGACTTTCTCTGAAACTCCTGACTAAGGATTTGCTCGCCAACAAAGTACCTTCCTTGCTGCCAGTAAACCACAATCCTATGACTGATTCTACTTGTATCACTTTATTATCCTACTGTTTTTACCAAATGTTTTCAAGGTATTAAATGTTATATGTCTTAACTGTGGATTGTGTACATTTATTATATTTTATTTTATCTTATTTTAAAAATGAGTGAGGCTGTCATATCAGGGAGTTGTTTTCATTTTACATCTATTGATTTCCCACATGTCATAGCCCCATTTGTGTTTGTTTCTGTATTATTACACTTATTTGCCTCAATAAAAACAAAGATTGATAAAAATACCCCATGCCAAGATGGGGATAATTCTCCTCCCTGTTCTGCCATATGATCTCAAAGACAACATAGGCCCAACAAACTATCTGGCAAACTGAATCTGGCAAACTGAAATGGACAAGCCCTAAATTTGACCCTGTAACTTTCTAAAACCCCATAAAACCTGTACATGGAGGTACTGTTGTACTCATGAGACATTGTTTAAAACAAATATGAGTGTTTTGGAGCAGTAAAATGTATAATGATGATGATGTCATTGGTGAAATAGCGGTTTGTTTGTGAAAAATTAAAAAAACAAAGATGAATATGAACACTAACTTTAACTCATGTTTGCAACTAAGTGGTTCTAAAAAGGACTGGACATAACCCATTTTAAATATCCTGGGTTGTCTACTTTTGACAATGGTATGCCAGGATAGAGGTAATTTTATAACATGACAGGAGGCTTCATACATTTACAAGAAAAAGTATGTGAACCCTTTGGAATGATATTGATTTCGCCACAAATTGGTCATAAAATGTGATCTGATCATCATCTAAGTCACAACAATAGACAATCACAGTCTGCTTAAACTAATAAACACACAAAGAATGAAATGTTGCCATGTTTTTATTGAACACGCCATGTAAACATTCACAGTGCAGGTGGAAAAAGTATGTGAACCCTTGGATTTAATAACTGGTTGAATCTCCTTTGGCAGCAATAACTTCAACCAAACTTTCCTGTAGTTGCAGATCAGATGTGCACAACGGTCAGGAGTAATTCTTGACCATTCCTCTTTACAGAACTGTTTCAGTTCAGCAATATTCTTGGGATGTCTGGTGTGAATCGCTTTCTTGAGGTCATGCCACAGCATCTCAATCGGGTTGAGGTCAGGACTCTGACTGGGCCACTTCAGAAGGCATATTTTCTTCTGTTTAAGCCATTCTGTTGTTGATTTACTTCTATGCTTTGGGTCATTGTCCTGTTGCAACACCCATCTTCTGTTGAGCTTCAGCTGGTAGAGAGATGGCCTTAAGTTCTCCTGCAAAATGTCTTGATAAACTTGGGAAATCATTTTTCCTTCGATGATAGCAATCCGTCCAGGCCCTGACACAGCAAAGCAGCCCCAAACCATGATGCCCCCACCACCATACTTCACAGTTGAGATGAGGTTTTGATGTTGGTGTGCTGTGCCTTTTTTTCGCACACATAGTGTTGTGTGTTTCTTCCAAACAACTCAACTTTGGTTTCATCTGTCCACAGAATATTTTGCCAGTACTGCTGTGGAACATTCAGGTGCTCTTGTGCAAACTGTAAACGTGCAGCAATGTTTTGTGTGGACAGCAGTGGCTTCCTCTGTGGTATCCTCCTATGAAATCCATTCTTGTTTAGTGTTTTACGTATTGTAGATTCGCTAACAGGGATGTTAGCATTTGCCAGTGACTTTTGTAAGTCTTTATCTGACACTCTAGTATTCTTCTTCACCTCATTGAGCAGTCTGCGCTGTGCTCTTGCAGTCATCTTTACAGGACGGCCATTCCTAGGGAGAGTAGCAGCAGTGCTGAACTTTCTCCATTTATAGACAATTTGTCTTACCGTGGACTGATGAACAGCAAGGCTTTTGGAGATACTTTTATAACCCTTTCCAGCTTTATGCAAGTCAACAATTCTTAATTGCAGGTCTTCTGAGAGCTATTTTGTGCAAGGTATCAGTCACATCAGGCATTGCTTCTTGTGAAAAGCAAACCCAGAATTGGTGTGTGTTTTTTATAGGGCAGGGCAGCTGTAACCAACACCTCCAATCTCATCTCATTGATTGGACTCCAGTTGGCTGACATCTCACTCCAATTAGCTCTTGGAGATGTCATTAGTCTAGGGGTTCACATACTTTTTCCACCTGCACTGTGAATGTTTACATGGTGTGTTCAATAAAAACATGGCAACATTTCATTATTTGTGCGTTATTAGTTTAAGCAGACTGTGATTGTCTATTGTTGTGACTTAGATGACGATCAGATCACATTTTATGACCAATTTGTGCAGAAATCCATATCATTCCAAAGGGATCACATACTTTTTCTTGCAACTGTATTTGTTTAAGTCTCTCTTTACTAGAACTTCACAGCAGCACATTAATACAGAGAAAAAAACTACCAATCAGAAAAAAGTAATATACAATAAAGGTCCCATCCCAACCAACTACTTCCTCTTTCTTTGCTGCTCCACATCAAGCATAGGTCAGAGTAGCACTGCCTCCTGTTCTTAGTGGGTGGCTGTGGGATTTTATGGAATTATCTATATGTGTGTGTATATAGTGTATATATTGTGTATATAGGGTGTATATTTTATGTATATATGGTGTATTTATTGTGTATATATGTATATTGTATATTTGGGGTATATATATATATATATATGGTGTTTTTGGGGTATCTTTTGTGTATACTTGGTGTCTGTTTGGTTAGAGATCCTGTGTATTTTTTGTTTGCCAATATGCCTTCCTTTAGATGATGTTTCTTTTATGCCTTCACTGCCTGGGTGCTAACCAGGTTTTCTCTCTCCCTTTTCCTCTCTGTTTTCCTTGTCTGTGGGCTTTTCTTTTGCAAACGTCGCAGGAGACGGCTATTTAGCCGCCTCCTCCGATCGCCCACACGACAGCGGCCCCACATGTTGTGTCCTGCGGCAGTTGGCCTCACGCCGCTGCTCGGGACCCATCACCTGGGCCTTTCCCCTCTCTTCATATCGCCTACCTTCCCCGTCGCCGGGCCGAGAGAAAATAGCTTCCGGTATTGCGGCCCACGTGTGGCGAAGGAGGAGAGGGGTTAGAGGCTTGCCACGTGGAAGCGGTAGCTACCGGTCTGCCTTAGGTACCCTCCCCCACACGGTATCCTTCTCCAGTCGAGGGGTTTGGGTTAACTTGTGCTGGGGGGGGGTTTCCCCAATGGGATTATGTGTATTATATTGGAATACACTCTGTCTAATGGAGCAGTCTGGGTATTCTCAGCTGCTGCATATACATGAATATTTATCAGAGTCAAATATGTTACATGAAACATACAACTGCCTATTATTAAAGGAAAACTATTGTCACCTAAATTACTTTAGCTAAATAAAGCAGTTTTAGTGTATAGATCATTCCCCTGCAATTTCACTACTCAATTCACTGTCATTTAGGAGTTAAATCACTTTGTTTCTGTTTATGCAGCCCTAGCCACACCTCCCCTGGCTATGATTGACAGAGCCTGCATGAAAACAAACTGGTTTCACTTTCAAACAGATGTAATTTACCTTAAATAATTGTATCTCAATCTCTAAATTGAACTTTAATCACATACAGGAGGCTCTTGCAGGGTCTAGCAAGCTATTAACATAGCAGGGGATAAGTAAATCTTAAAAGACCACTATAGTGCCAGGAAAACACTCATTTTCCTGGCACTATAGTGCCCTGAGGGTGCCCCCACCCTCAGGGACCCCCTCCCGCCCGGCTCTGGAAAGGGGAAAGGGGTTAAAACCTACCTTTTTCCAGCGCTGGGCGGGGAGCTCTCCTCTTCCGATCCTCCTCCTCTCCGCACATTCGGCAGAATGCGCATGTGCGGCAAGAGCTGCAATGCTATCCTATGGACGCTTGCGTGCTCTCACTGTGATTTTCACAGTGAGAATCACGCAAGCGCCTCTAGCGGCTGTCAATGAGACAGCCGCTAGAGGCTTTGGAGGAAGGCTTAACCCATTTATAAACATAGCAGTTTCTCTGAAACTGCTATGTTTATAAAAAAAAATGGGTTAACCCTAGAGGGACCTGGCACCCAGACCACTTCATTAAGCTGAAGTGGTCTGGGTGCCTAGAGTGGTCCTTTAATTAAACAGAACTTGCAATAAAGAATTCCTAAATAGGGCTCTCTTTAAAGAATGTGTTTATGGAAGGCTGTGCAAGTCACATGCAGAGAGGTGTGACTAGGGTTCATCAACAAAGGGATTTAACTCCTAAAGGCAGGGGATTGAGCAGTGAGGCTGCAGGGGCATGTTCTATACACCAAAACTGCTTCATTAAGCTAAAGTTGTTCAGGTGACTATAGTGTCCCTTTAACATCCCATGCTGTTATGCACAGAGAGATGTTAACCAATATAGTTAACCCTTTCACTATACGGCCATGTGGGAGCGACGGCTCCCGGCTTCACTCTGTTCCCCCTCCTGTCTCCTTGCATTTACACGGCACGATAGTGGTCCTTTAAGATTTACTTATCCCGTGCTATGTTAATAGCTTGCTAGACCCTGCAAGAGCCTCCTGTATGTGATTAAAGTTCAATTTAGAGATTGAGATACAATTATTTAAGGTAAATTACATCTGTTTGAAAGTGAAACCAGTTTTTTTTTCATGCAGGCTCTGTCAATCATAGCCAGGGGAGGTGTGGCTAGGGCTGCAAATACACGGAGACAGGAGGGGGAACAGAGTGAAGCCAGGAGTCGTTGCTCCCACATTAGACCTGGAGGTGCACACAACGTGTTCCTGTTTCCCTCTTTCTTCTGCTCCATAGCTGGAGCGCACACATGTATAGGGTATTATGGAGCTGGGAATTGTATGCTAGGTTGTCACCATACTATTGTGCAGTTAACACTTTGTTCTCTGTGTGGTTAACTTTTCAGTTTGGTTTTCCCTTGTTCTGGGCAGGTGATAAACAGTCTGTCTTGTTTTGTTTTACAGGCCTTGTGTCCACATTTCATTAATGCATATCTTTGTAAGTGTATCAGTAACTTTTCAATTGTATTCACTTGCTAGTGGTGGTAAGCCTCCTGCTTACTTGGCAGTTACATTTTATGATTGCTCTACACTGAAGCTGACAATGTATTCTGCCATATTTCACAGACCGTACATCATTCCTGTACATCACTCTTGTACATCACATGGATTTGGCCTGCCCTCAACTACGCTCCAAGATGGACCTGCGGTGTCTGTGCCCCATGATTGGCCTGCTTTATCTGTGTCTCAAGATTGGCCTGCTATGTCTGTGCCCCTTGATTGGCCTGCACTGTCTGTGCCATTACCATGGTATGACCCTGGTTTGGCTACCCATTTAAGTATGCATATAAATTGCGGGCGCTGTCTATCTTGCCTTGCCCACAAATATGTGGTGCTGCCCCTATTATTCTGCCTGTGTCCCTCTGCATCACCTTGCAAGCATATCCCAGCCCTAGTTTCTTTCAGTCGAGTCTCCGCAGTCCAGACCTTTGATGTTAAAGCTTTTCTTTCTATTGAGGGGGTCACCTTCGCGGTGTCTAGGCGTACTAGTCGGGTTCGACGGCTGTATTCTACCCGTATTTCCATGACTTCCCTACGCTAGGTGCTGCGACGGCTCTGTCTCACTAGGTGGCTTCGCCTTTCCAGTTCCGTTCACTTATTGATCTCTTATGTTAGACCTCACACACCAGTCTTTTCTCCTAACCTGACACTGTGGATTTTATGGTTGTCATTGGCGAGTGTGAATTCGACCCCCGGAGCGCATTTGGTTAGAAGTGCGATGGCTTCGGGCTCCTTCCTCGAGGGCGACTCTATCGAAGACATCCTGCAATCAATTGATTGGTCCCAAGGGGACGCTTTCCGACATTTTTATTTCAGACCGATGGATCATGTTTCCTTTGCTGTGCTGTCTGAGCGTTAAAACAGCAAATATGAAGCCTCCTGTCATGTTATAAAATTGTAGATTATACTAGCTTTAGTGTAACTATAATCTTAATTTTATTAATGACAGGAGGCAAAATTTCCCTCCCAGTTTCACCCTACCCTTGTTGATTTTGTTTGTTTTATTTGATCACCTCTAGTTGTTAGTTTGTTCTTCAGAACTAGGACTAGGTAGGTCAGTGGTTTTGTCTTCCTGAGGGAAGTCGGGGTGAGACTTTATGGATATTGTACTGTCTGTAGTTGATTGTGGGTTCTTCATGTTTTCACAATACATTTCTTTCACTAACCGGTGCTTTCGACTCTGTTTTTCTCGTTTCATTTTAATGGTTCGTCTACAGTTCCACGTTCAAGACCTTCATCTGAATAAAGTTTAATGGTTCATCTACGGATCCACGTTCGGTTTCGGGTTCTGGATGGAGGTCATCAGTTGATTTTGTTTGATTTTTTTCTACTAGTACTAGATGTATATGTTTGTTCCTGTTCCTTATTTTGTCGCAGCTTGAAAGAAGAAGTAGTTGGTTGGGAGGGGACCTTTATTGTTTTTTACTTTTTTCTGATTGGTTGTTTTTTTCTTTGTGTTAATGTGCTGCTGTGGAGTTCTAGTAAAGAGAGACTTAAGCAAATATTCGCCACCTTTCATTAATAAAATTAAGATTATAGTTACACTAAGGCTGGTATACTCTACAATTTTCATTCCAGGGCTGCCATAAGGTCTCGAAGGCAACATAGGCCAAACAAATGAATCTGACAAATTTAAATGTGTAAAAACTGAAATGGCTAAGCTCTTTATTTGACCTTGTAAGTTTCTAAAACACCATGAAACCTGTACATGGGGGCATTGTTGTACTTGTGGGATATCATACACACATGTGTTTTATTGCAGTAAAAGTAAACCAGTATTACGACATTCCAAATTAAAATGCCACACAGAACTTGACAAATAACACAATTTCTTAATTTCAAAGTCAAATGTGCTTTCAAACACTATTTTATATACTATATTCACAAACATATAAACACGCAGGTACATATGAAAAAAACAAAAACATAAACTTCAATTTGGCAAACAATACAATGCATTGAAAGATAAATAGAATCTTAGTCTTCCACTGACAACAATAACTTTGGAATGCCAATGAGCAAACTATTGTATGTTATAATTTTTTTTTAAAATTAGGGAAATTGTGTCATTGATGTTTAGGAGAAAATGTAACCAACTGAAAGTAGTCTAAGTGAGATTTTAGTTTGATATATATATATATATATATATATATATATATATATAATATCAAGATATTAGATTCTTATAACTAATGTAACTAAAGTATCTATTCATATACAGACAGAAGGTTGTGGATCAATCAGATGTGTATCTGATTGATCCACAACCTTCTGTCTGTATATGAATAGATACTTTAGTTACATTAGTTATAAGAATCTAATATCTTGATATTTTATATATATATATATATATATATATATATATATATCAAACTAAAATCTCACTTAGCTTAAAAATATCTAATTACAGACTTTTTTTTATTTTTTTATTAATGAAATCTTCCCAGAATGCTGCATAATACTTTAAACTATTAAATGCCCACTTACAGGCAAAATTTCACACCCAAAATAATAACTATGCAATAATGAACATCTTAAAGTCTTACATGGGCATTAATCGTGCTCATAAAGAAAATTCCCCAGAGCATAGATTTTTCCACTTTTTGATTGTCATATGCATACAAAATAATAAAGTGAATTAAGTAAGGAATATAATAATTAATCATTCTGCACATCTACTTAAAAATAAAAACCAAAAGTACATAACTTTTTCATGTTAAAAGTCACATTTGACAAGTGTGGCTATTTAGAATTTTATCTAATTAACATATATAATTGCTTTATTTAATCTTTTTAAATCTAATTAACTAATCTAACAGGTAGCCTTTATAACCAGTGTTACTGATGCAAGTTTTATACTTAGCAGTCCAAAACTATACCTTTTTACATGTTCACTAATTATGTTTGTTAATTACCTGTAAAATGTACTCACTCTATTGTGATGCCTCCTCTACAAATACTTAAAATTGCTGCTAAATAACACAGCTTGGGACACTTCATGAAAAGTCATGTTATCTTTAGAGTAGTCATTTAAGCATCACATAATATATTAATTTGGGTTAAATGTGAAACAGATTTGTCTGTATTAATAGTTACACAATACTTAACTATGTATTGAACCCCATAGCTCAATAAAATAAATCCTTCCATTTTCTTTGAAAGAATTGTCGTAGAACCCAAACTTTAGGTGGTCAAATATAAAAGATTAATAAGTTTGGATGATACTTACGATAATTCATGGTCTGCAGATCTGTCTGCTCGCTGATCTCTGCCTCTTTTGAGTTAGACAGACACGTTTAAATTGCTTTACATATTTGGGATGAATCCGCCCCTGCAGCAATGTTGAACTACTAACCCAAAGAATCGCTCCCTCCCTGTTTCTGCCCAGTCACTCCTTTGTCTGAGTGACATCTGCCAAGTTTTAGGAAGCCCATAAATGTTGATGACAAATCTTAGCTGAAAGCTATTGTAGGAAATCTAAATGCTAAATCGTGTAGCTATTTACTCTGTCTTTTGTTTAATGAACCATGTGAAAAATAGATTGCAGGCAATTCTCCATGCAGTTTAGATATCAGGAATGGGGAAGTACAAATAAGGTCAAGCAAGGTATCTAGCAATTTTATTTATTTTATTTTAATTTACGTGTTTATGTAATACATCACATATCACATAGTAGCATGCATTAAAGAAATAAATATAAATAAAACACATGAGATGCACTATTATGTACAAAGTAAAGCAAATAAGGAATCCCATCAAAGCCTATAGACAGGCTCATTTGCCAGAATTATACATACACATTCATGTATGGAAGCGAGCCTGATGTACACGTAAAAATGTATTGCACTGATGGGGGCAAGCAGAATGAAAACCGAAAAAATTATCAAAGAGAAACATATAAACACTTAGAACTATAAATAATAAAATAATAAGTTGTCTTGCTCATTTGAATAAAGCAGATAAGAGGTAAGTACATGCGGAAAATAGGTGGCATTTTTCTATATTGTGGTGGGTGCCTGTAGGGTCATCTATAGTAGATAAACATCCAAGGGCTGAAACACAAGTCGGTAAGACATATAATAGGCTATATGCTTGAATGTACTGTATATGTGTACATAAGTTCTATGGGATACATGGCTCTAAGGGGTTTTACTAGTTTATGCAGATACTCAAGAATTTTGCCCAATGTGTCAACCATAGAGAACAGATTGTTACCTGTAGCTGACCAGTGCATCTCTTGCATGTGTTGAGTGTCCCCTACGCTATTCACCCATTGTTCCAAGGATGGGATATTGGTCTGCTTCCAGTATACTGAGATGAAAACATTAGTTTTTCACAGCAGTAGCCTTAGCAGTGTCTGATGACTAAGGTCTGAAAGGGAATTAGGTCACCACAGAAGACCTTGTGATGGAGTGAGTGTAGGGATACCTAGTAGGATATGTTTAATAACCGCAATCATTTGTCCCCAGAAGGGTTGAATATCCGTGCAATGCCAACACATGTGTTTTTTAGAGCCCTCCACCATCTGACACCTCCAACAGGTGTTACTTATCATGGGTATGAAGGATGGTTTGTCTCTTAGATAGACTAACAGATGCCTACATAATCTTCCTGAAAATATATTAACAGTCCCTGTGTGGAAGATGTATGTGCAGAGCAGATGTCCACTTTACCTGAATACGAGTATGGGCCTGTCTGTATTAAGGAGTAAATCTGTGAGAGAGGTCTCTTAATCACTCCAGAAGGTGTGCAAGTAGTCTCAAATGGAATGAGGTCTCTGGGTTTCCAGTGTGGTATAGAAATTTTTTGAGGAATTGAGTAAGTTGAGAGTAACTCAATGTGTCTAATAGCCAGTGGCAAAACTACCACAGTAGCAGGAGTCACAGCTGCGACCAGGCTGTCACTCCGGTGAGTCCACTGTGCTGTCAACCCCTGCTGACACTGCATAACTTTAGGGTTTGTGTACGTCTGCACTGGCGTACATACCGGGGTCGCAGAGCTTGCGGCTGTGACCGGGCCCGGCCCACCAGGGGGCCCGGCCGCCCTGCGACCTGGTATGTACCCACTGTGGCCAGCCTCTTCTCCTAGGGGGGAAAAGCTGGCACTGGTATCACCGGGCGGGCAGGCAGGTTGACGTCATCTTCCAGCTCCGGTATCAGTACGTGACGCGCGAGGGAGCTGAACAGGAAGCACTCAGGGGAGAGTGTTCCCTCACGCGCCTGCCTGCCTGCCCACCCGGTGATACCACTGGACCCCAGGGAATCCCATCAGCACTCCAAAAGGTAGGGAGGCTGGGGGGATTACATTTTTTTTTAAAAGTGTGTGTGTGTTAGAGTGTGTGTGTTAGTGTTAGTGTTAGAGTGTGTTAGTGTTAGAGTAATGTGTTAGTGTTAGAGTGTGTTAGTGTTAGAGTAATGTGTTAGTGTTAGAGTGTGTGTGTGTTTTAGTGTTAGAGTGTGTGTGTGTTAGAGCGTGTGTGTGTGTTAGTGCGTGTTACAGTGTGTGTTAGTATTAGAGTCAGAGTGGTAGTGTGTGTGTTAGTATTAGAGTGTTAGAGTGTGTGTGTGTTAGAGTGTGTGTGTTAGAGTGTGTGTGTTAGAGTGTGTGTGTGTTAGAGTGTATGTTAGTGTGTTACTGTGTGTCTGTTAGTGAGTTATAGTGTGTGTGTTAGAGTGTGTGTGTGTTAGTGCGTGTTAGAGTGTGTGTTAGTATTAGAGTGTGAGTGGTTGTGTGTGTGAGTGTTAGAGTGTGTGTTAGTATTAGAGTGTTAGAGTTTGTGTGTGTGTTAGAGTGTGTGTGTTTGTTAGTGTAGTACTGTGTGTGTCTGTTATCGAGTCTATTTGGTGTCTGTTAGTAAGTGTGTGTGTGTCTGTCAGTGAGTGTGTATGTATGTCTGTCACTGAGTGTGTGTCTGTCAGTAAATGTGTGTGTCTGTTAGCTTGTGTGTATGCATCTGTTTGTGAGAGTGTGTGTGTGTGTGTCTTCAGCACTTACCTTTCTCCAGCACCGGACTCTCTTGGCGCTGGGGATCTCTCCGCCCCGATCCGCCTCTCAGCTACGAATGGGCATGCGCGGCAAGAGCCGCGTGCGCATTCAAACCGCCCATAGGAAAGCATTACTCAATGCTTTCCTATGGACATTCAGCGTCTTCTCACTGTGATTTTCACAGTGAGAATCGTGGAAGCTCCTCTAGCAGCTGTCAATGAGACAGCCACTAGAGGCTGGATTAACCCTCAGTGAAACATAGCAGTTTCTCTGGAACTGCTATGTTTTCAGCTGCAGGGTTAAAACTAGAGGGACCTGGCACCCAGACCACTTCATTGAGCTGATGTGATCTGGGTGTCTGTAGTGGTCCTTTAAGTGTATGTGTATCTGCATGCACTGGCGTACATACCACGGTCGCTGGGGTCAGGCCCTGCGACCAGGTGCCCACCGCCATGTGTTGCAGCCCCGGCCCGTGCAGAGTAAGCGTTAGGGGAGGGGGCCACGGATCAGATTTTGCACCGGGGGCCCCATGGGTTGTGTGTACGCCACTGTACCAGTCACTGTATGTAGTGTAACCAAGCCGCCGTAGAGGATATTCTGTATTTTCTACCTGGTATGACATGAAGTGCTCTGAGTGAGATCTTCAACAGCAGTAGGCTCGGCCATGCTACAAGGAGGTCAGCAGGCTCAGGGGGGAGACAGATGGGGGATGAAACACATGGGGAGGATTAGACAACTGGGGAATGAGACACATGAAGGGGCTGGGGGTGAGACACACAGAGGGTTAAGACGCATGGAGGGGCTGGGGGGAATAAGACACATGGAGGAGCTTTGAGAGAATGGGACACATGGAGAGACAGGGGGATATAACACACATAGAGGAGCTGGAGGGATGAGAAACATGGAGGAGCTGAGGTGGCATCAGACACATGGAGGATTTGGGGGAAGAATGAGACATAACGAGAGACAGGGGGTAATGAAGGGTTGGGAGGGAATGAGCCACATTTAGGGGGCTGGGGTGGGGGAGAATTAAATGCATGGAGGGGCTGGGGGTCGATGAGAAACATAAAGGGACTGGGGGGATGAGAATCATAGAGGGACTGGGGTGGGATGAGACACATTGAGGAGCTGGTAGAAAAAGACACATGGAGGGGCTGGGGAGAATGATATGCATGGAGTGGCTAAGGGATATGAAACACATGGAGGAGCTGGGGGGAGATTAAGACACATGTAGGGGCTGGGAGGGAATGAGCAACGTTAGGAGCTGGGGAGAATGAAACACATGGAGGAGCTGGAGGGGAAATTAAGACACATGTAGGGACTGGGGGGGAAATAAGACACATAGAAAGGACAGAGGAGAGTGAAACACATCGAGGGGCTGGGGGGAATAAGAAACATGGAGGAGCTTTGAGAGAATGGGACACATAGAGGGACAGGGGTTATGACACACATAGAGGAGCTGGATGGATGAGAAACATGGAAGAGCTGAGGTGGCATCAGACACATGGAGGATTTGGGGGAAGAATGAGACATAACGAGAGACAGGGAGTAATGAAGGGTTGGGAGGGAATGATCAACATTTAGGATGAGAAACATGGAGAGGCTGGGGAGAATTAAATGCATGGAGGGGCTGGGGGTCGATGAGACATATAAAGGGACTGGGGGGAAGAGACACATAGAGGGACTGGGGTGGGATGAGACACATGGAAGAGCTGGGAGAAAAAGACACATGGAGGGGCTGGGGAGAATGATATGCATGGAGTGGCTAAGGGATATGAAGCACATGGAGGAGCTGGGGGGAGATTAAGACACATGTAGGGACTGGGGGGGGATAAGACACATGGAAAGGACAGAGGAGAGTGAAACACATGGAGGGGCCTTGGGGGGGATGAGACACATGAAGGGTCTTTGGGGGAATGAGACACATGGAGGGGCTGGTGTGATGAGGCACATGGACGGACTTGGGTAAGACACTATATTATTATTATTATTAAGGCCTGGACTTAGGGAATGAGACACATGGAGGGTTCTCTGAAAGTTGGTGTGGTATCTTTGCTGCTTGGTTTCATAGTAAAACATTGCACATACAGACTGCAAGCACGATGATCAGTTAGAGGGGAGGCAGAGGTGGTGGTCCACCCCGATGGCACTTTTTGGGAGGCGGCCGTGGGCCTGCATGCTGAGCTGGGCCATCGGGTGGCCCATGCACTTAGGGCCCCCGATGGCAATGTGTTTTGATGTACTCGGTCAACACTGAGGTGCTTGAATAGAGCAACTGGGCTCCTCTAATGATGTCATTGCTGGGAGAAAGTGACAGCCA